AAGTAGCTTCGTGGTTGAAGTACGAAGCTCTTTTTTTGAAGTTGGTCAATTATCCTTATCCTTATCCTTACTAATATTATAAATCGGAAAGTGAGTTTGTTTGTTTGTTTGTTCCGCTTTCACACCGTAACCACTAAACCGATTGCTTTGAATTTTTGCAGACGTAAAGTTAGAAGTCCGGATTAAATAATAGGGTACTTTTTATCCCGGAAAAATTTGATATTCCCGAGGGAAAACAAAAGTATTGGTATAGATGGCGCTGTGTGTATTGGTATATTATTATGTCACAGGCTACTTTTTATCCTTTTGTGACGCGAACGAAGCCGTGGGTAAAAGCTAGTAAAATATAAATCAACAGTACAATCTTCTCCTAAGACTAACGCGTAAGTAGGTAAGTATAAGTTTTCTCAAACGCTTTTCTGAAACCCGCATCAAATCGGTTCAGCTGATCGTGAGACAAATATAAGTCAACACAAGATACAAAGGTACCTCGGTATAGGTCAAACTTAACTTAACTTAATTATTAAAAGCTTCGTAAAATACGTTTTGTACACGTTTGGTTCTCTCGCAGGAAAACCGTGTGATTTGATAAATTTAAATAATTTTACATTAAACATCTGAATTCTAAAGCTAATTTCGATTTATTATTCATGAAATATTGATGGAATTATTGAAATAGAATGTATTTACCTCTATAACTTTATACATAAGGTACATTTATGTTTGAAGGTAGTTAAATCACATAGGTAGGTTTATAATAGGTACATAGGTGGTAAGGTGTGGTTTAGTACTAAGGCGACAATTAATAAAATATTGAGTAAATGCCATAATGAACTCATACCTAATTGTTAATAAATAGTAATAATAAACTTCCTCCGTTGGCCGAGTGGCCGCAAGTGCGACTGCGTCTCGGGTTCGATTCCCAGATTGGACAAAGTACTTAGGGTTTTTTTTAAAAAATATCTGTAGTAGCACGGAGTCTGGAATTGTGCCCGATATATGGCAATAGGTTCAGCGCCTATTACATGGGACTCATAACATAAATAGTGAAAAGTGGGTGTTACATTGTACAGTGCCATCAAGTGCCGTAATGTGCACCTCTGCCTCCTCGGGGATAAAAGGCGTGATGTTATGAATGAATAATAATAAATAAATAAATTTTTATTCAAAAAGTATAAAGAAAAAATAACTTTCTATGTCTTAAGTCTACATTATTGAATTAGGTCGTCCCAAACATAGATATCTGTTTACATTGACATCGTTTATCAACAATTTTATTCTTTAGTTTTACTATCATGTGTAAGTACTAAAATACCCAAATACTTGACAATACCATCATCAAAAACTCCTGCGCAAATAAGTTTATGGTCAACAGGCAATGGGCTTACCTAGTCGAAATCGTTTTGCCAACTTAAATGTTCTGGTGGACAAATTTGTAACTAAACTTGAATACCATAGGAATCCGCCAAAAGAGTGCTCAGACAGCGACACAATTACTTTGGTCATAACATAGTTAGGTAGCATTATTATATACCTAACAAGGTATATTACCTATATAAAAAGTGAGATAAGAAATACTGTCAGTAGGCCTCTATAACAATTATTTAGGTAGTATGTCAAAGGTAATTCACATTTATTACTAAGTGTATAAGATCTAATTTTATGACTGCGTTAAAATAGACGTGGTAAGTACCTACTAACATTATTTTGTACCATGTTTACTGACCTTACCTAGATGGCTACCTAACAAATCGGAACCCAGTTTTATTCCGAGGTCGCCTTTATATGGTCACCACCAGGTATTCACTTAAAAGAGTAGTTACGTCTATTGTTGTTTTAATTTAGAGGAAAATCGACAACATGTAGGTACTAAGCAGGTAGTTAGTTCAGATATAAGCAATTACTTCAGCAGTTTAGCTATAAATAGATACCTGAACACTATAATAATTACTTTAACCTGCATTTCATAAACTGCATTCAGTCATCCATTGCTATCTAAACAGTTTAGTATTTTGTTAATTGCTTGATAAATTTTATTCCTCATTTTGTTGTAAGATACTTGTCACTTTATTTGTTGCTAAGCTTGAAAACTAACACGAAATAAATGCCCCTAAATTAAGAAATAACTACCTAATGGCTGTTTTCACCAAAACCACCCTTTTTTTTAAGGGGGGAAAATCATCGAATAGCTGCTCCCGCCTGGGTGAGGCGGGAGGGAGTGTCAGACTCTTACTGACTAAAAACCACCCTGTTCCTGCTCCTGCACTTTGAGCCGGAGCCACGGCAACCCGTTAGGTTCTCCGCGGCTCCGAATCACCAAAACCACCCTTAAACTATTCTCTTAACTAAAAGTTAAGAGTGATATAATCACTCTAACTAGCCCCTTATTTTTACTGTTAAGTGTTACTTATAGTTTGGTAGACGCCAAAACGTCGTTAAATGTCACCTATCTTAGCTTAGGGACTCCTTAAAATTTAAGGGAGCTTGCTGAAAACGGGCATAATTATCACTCACAGCAATTCTCGTAGCAGTTTTAATCGATAATGGTAATTTGATGGAACATAATGAATCGAGTGAACTTAACAAGGATCGACTGACAATTCAGCTGACGGGTAACTGAGGGTCTAACGGAAACAGGCACCGTGACAATGGCTATCGAAACTTAAAATACATTGTAATGTAGAAAAAAATATCAACATCTGGCCATTGTATGATTCGCGGGGGAGTCTCTGTAAAATAAATAAATAAATAACAAAACGTCGCCACCGCACGCGTCATTATTCAAGTGCGATTGACAGGCACTTCCATGGCACGGGGTCGCCGGCTCGCCGGTCGCGGCAACCTCAATAATACGCCTACTTATTGCCGCTGAGCAATGCGCGGCTACTGGGACTAAACACCATTGATACTTTTAAAAAATTAATCTTTAGCTTTGGGTATAAAACCATCACCATCTGAATACAGTTGAACAAGGGCACTAGGCAAGTGGCTCGAGATCACATCTAGATCACAATACAAGCACCAAACTTACCATCAGCAAAAATGCCTACTAATGAACCATCCTGCTACCTCGGTAGCTGTTAACAGTTGGATGACACGAGTGGTAGGTAACCGGGTTTAACTCGTCGAGTACCGGTTTTGTAGACACAATTATTGAACAATAGGTTGCGGTCACCGGTGACCGCTTGGTATTTGACAGTTTAAGCTTCAAAAATAACAGAGTCCAAAGTAATTGTGCAGTGCACGTGGCTCTTTTTTCGCAACCGCTTTTCCGCATTCGTATTTTTTTTTAATGTTTCTCAAACTACAAATATCTAGGTACTTCAAAACCAACCAGCTTACAAGAGTAAAAGTTTCTTAAGAACTCTGGGTTCTTCCGCTACCGCATTGATTGCAATTAATTAAACTAAATATTGCAGCAAGTATCAAGACTACTTATAGGCACGATTAAGGATTTTTCTAAGACGTGTGCTATCGTATTGAACAACGGTGGCGAATCGAATACTTCATGAATAAATATAAATTCGATATTCTTTTTGAATGAAAATGTCGAATAAAAAGGTGATTTATCATAAATGTCGTGTGCTTTCAATAGAGCCTAGTCTTTTATAACTTTTAAATAAACATCATTTTTGGGGATGACGTACAAAATGGCGCGCAGCGAATTTTTTTTTTTTTTTTACTGTCTTTTTAGTGGGACAAGGGAAGCTAATGAGTGGAGGACACCCACACAACGATGACAATGCGTTTTCTTTTTTAAACTTCGATAATGTTTGCGAACCTTTCGTTTGATGTGTGTTTTGTAAGCAACATTTTTTACAACTAGAGACATTGTAGTCTATAATACCTATAACAAATATATTTATTTATATAGCCATGTAGGTAAGTGTGAGTACTAATGAATAGGTTAGGTAAGACTTACCTAGGAGATAAACTTTAGAATATCAACATAAGATTCTGCATTTTTTATCACCTCACTTTACAAAAGATTTACTTTACTGATTAATAAAATTATAATCTTAATCCAATCTTCCTTTAGGTAGGTACGTCGCACGACGGCCAGTTAGTTATAAGACTGCGTTCTGCTTTGAAGTTACTTAGTGGATATTTATAGCTCAGAAATAACTGCGCAAACACAGGTGCACTAATAAAATTAGACCTCATTGAAAAGATAATACCTAATATCAGTGGTGCTGTTACCGAATTGTCCTTGACCAATGTATTTAGTAATTAGGTATGCTTTCTGAGGACCAACCGTTAAGTAAATAGTAGGTAACAATATCTGATTAAAGTAGTAGGTAGTACAAAGAACGAGAAGAATTACGATGGCCCCATCCTCCCCTAAATCACCCTCTCTATCCTCAAAACCTCCAACCCCGTAATGCCCAAAAAACAAGCAACGCACTTACATATAACTTCTCGTCTAATGTTTTGGCTTGTGTGTCCCTATCTATTGTTCATGCCCATGGATATTACCGATTAATCTGTATCTCGTAAAAATTAAAGATTTATTCTTATCTATGATGGAAGCGTACCTATTAATAATATTACGATACGAAATTGCAGGCTTCTTTTTGTATGACCAAAAAATGAAAAAAAAAAAAGTGTTTTTTTATTTAAAGAAAAAATTTTATTTAAAAAGATAAAATTTAAAAATCTGTTGATGCTTGCGTACAAAGAAACGTATTGCTTACGTTCCGTTACGCTTTATAAATTGCAATTTTTTTAATGCTCATACTAAACAAGTTTACGTATAAAGGAACGTGGATCCGGTACGTTCCGATACGCGTTGAATTTTTTATTGTTTTAAATGCTCGAATAAGCGTATATTCTAATCAAAATAGTATATTGTTAAAATAAAACATATTGTAAAATCAATAATAGAGTTTACATTTATAGTTCCACACTACAAATAAAAATAAAATAAATTTAAAATATTACACAATAGCCTGCCAAATTACTGCCTGTTCTGGGATTATACGGTGCATGAGTTGATAGTTTCGATGACGTTCCTTTTGACAGTGACAATTGGTATTCACCGCATCAAACCGTGACTTTCATAAATTGTTTTAGCTAAATAATTGTTAAGTTTTTAGTGTAAATTCATGTAAGTATCAACTAACAACCGTCTTTCTTAAATGTTTTAATCATATTTTCTGTTATTATTGACAATTTCATAACGAGAATGTTGCAATGACGCTACAACAAACAATTGAAAATTCTGTCTTCGGTTTTCTCATTATTGTGGTTTTGTCTCCTATTTTTTAGCATGTTTTGATTAAATCATCTATTTCTGTTAATTTCAGTAAATATGGCGGCATCTGTAGTGAACGCGTACAGCGACCCTTGCATTCCTGAATGGATGAATGCTCAGCACAGCACAGGGACTTCGATCATGGCGTGCGAGTTCAACGGTGGTGTAGTCATTGGCGCCGACTCTCGCACTACGACCGGAGCTTACATTGCCAACAGAGTGACTGACAAGCTCACAAGGATCACTGATCATATTTACTGCTGCAGATCTGGATCGGCGGCTGACACCCAAGCTATTGCTGATATAGTTACTTATCATTTGAGTGAGTGAACCTTAACATACTTTGTTCCAATTAGGTTTAACTCATCGAGTACCGGTTTTGTAGACACAATTATAGAACAATAGGTTGCGGTCACCGGTGACCGCTTGGTGTTTGACAGTTTAATAAGCCCCTAGGGATACCCCCTGAGCGGCACTTGAAACTCAATAAGTTTGTTGTAGGTTTGTTGTTAGCTATTTGCTGATTTGTTATCATAGAATCATAAGAAAAGGAAAATTTCATTGATTTTAAATGGACCCAAGTAAACTAAAGACTACAAGGAGCATAAGCATAGAGGTAATCATTGTGTGTACTATAAGTCGGAATAAGCTTCTAGTCTTAGAATTACTAGACTACATGTCTATGGCTATCTTCACATCTGTGTCAGGCTATCTAGCCTATTGCTGTTGCCTATCAGAGTTTGTTGGAAAATACTCCTTAAAAATAATCTAAGCAAGCCATTGTATTTTCTATTGTGTCTAGTATATTTCAAAGGTAAAACAATGCTGTCACAATCACAACTGTATATAGGTTCTAAACCATTAACCAATTCAAGTTTTCTAATTGAAGAAATTAAATGTATAACTGTTTGTTTTCAGATTTCCACAAGATGGAGCTGGGAGAGCCTCCCCTAGTCCACACTGCTGCAGCTATATTCCGTGAACTCTGCTACAATTACCGTGACTCCTTGGTCGCTGGTATTCTCGTTGCCGGCTGGGACAAGAAGAATGGAGGTACTTAATTTACTTGTTTAATAATTACTTGATATCTACCCATCCCTGTAAACTCCTGATGTTCTGGTTAAGACCCAGAGCTAATTGGGAAAAGCTCAAGAGAAAGACTACCTTGACTTCCTATGTGGAATTTAGAAGATATTTCATAAATAGACCCCATAGAAATATTAGGATAAAAAGTAACCTATGAAAAGCTATCTTTCTGGAAAAGTAAAGTATCCAATATTTTAATGCTACCTAAAAGGATTAAAAAAAAATTTATTGGTGTTTGTTTCCATTCTTAGAGCAATACAAACAATCTTCTTATTTTATTGCTTGTTTAAAAAACTTTATGCACACAATGAAGCACATGGGTGCACTTTACACCATAGGAAATTCAACCAATCAGACCCTTATGTGATGCATAGGAGAGTATCCAAATGATATAAGTAAATAAGCTATTAACAGGGTTTAAATTTTTCAGCCAAGTTGCTGCCAATGTTTACCCTCAACTCCTTAGAAAGAACCATAAGAACTACAGCTTTTCTTGTAGATTTTTATTTTACTAAACAACTTTTCTTTCCTTTCAGGACAAATCTACTCAGTCCCTATCGGTGGTATGGTGCAACGCCAACAAGTTTCCATTGGTGGGTCCGGTTCAACCTATGTTTATGGTTATGTGGATGCTAACTTCAAGCCCAACATGACTAAGGAGGAAGCTATCAAGTTTGTCACCAACACCTTGACCCTTGCCATCCTTCGTGACGGCTCATCCGGAGGTGTTGTGAGGCTTGGAGTCATCACTGAAGCTGGTGTGGAACGCTCTGTAATTCTTGGCGACCAGCTACCGAAATTCTATGAGGGTTAAATTGCATTTGCTCTTTGTACTTTTATTTTGTAAGTAATAAAACTTTTGGAAACAAATATGCGGTTTTTATACATAATAAGGTTTGTTATATTATCACGCTGCTCTGTTGCACTAGCCTCCCCATGGTAAGAGAACGAGAACCCCTTACTTATTATACTCTTTGGAGAACCCTCTTAACCTCTTATCTGTCGGCATGTGAGACACAATAGAAAACACATTGTCTCGCTTATATCTACGTTCCCAGCATACCATGGGTTAAACCAGCTTAGATTTTGAGATTCATATTTTTAAATAACACCCACTGTAGGACTATTTCATAATACTGAAGGGTATGTGTATCTGGGACAAGAAGTGGTAATGGGAAAGTACAACCAAGCCAACGAAATTGATAGGCGTATAAGATTGGCCTGGGCGGCCTACTCCAAACTTGAGTTCGGCTTCCGTATGAACATTACGGTGAACATGAACAACAGAAGGCGCGCATATATGACTAGTGTATACTACCGGTGCTCACATACGGGGCTGAGACCTGGGTGTTTACAAAGGACATTCTCCAAAAACTCCAAGTAGCCCAAAGAGCAGTAGAAACGAAGCTGGTAGGCTTTACTCTGAGAGACCGCAAAGAAACCAGTGGCTAAGACAGTAGAGTACCTAAAGTCAAGGATGTCACACAGCATATCGCGTAACTTAAGTGGGAATGGGCTGGTCACGTTGCACGCAAACGAACGCAGGGTTCGTAGTGCAAAAGCCGTGATAGAGTGAAGACCGTAGGGCGAAAAACGCCCACAAGGAAGACTCCAGATGCGTTGGTACGATGACATCAAACGAACAGCTGGCACGAAATGGATAGAAATTGCTCATGACCGAAAGAGATGGCAGAAACAGAAGGAGGCCTACACCGTAAGGGTAGAAAAGCATATATACGGTCGAATTGAGAACCTCCTCCTTTTTTTGAAGTCGGTTAAAAAAGGCTAAAGAAGAAGAAAGAAATAGGACTATTACTAGAACTATTGTAACCTCTATTGGATTCGTTGGCGCGGTGTGTTGGGTTGTTCCGTTCCCAATAAAAAAGATGGCCGTACCAATTGCTGACTCCCACGTCATCCTCGTGAACAGGTGCCCTCTGATGAGTCAGGTCGGCTCTTCCATCGTCTTGGTGGGCTGATTTCGTAGCCGTCGAAATAGATGTAAATAGATAATAGTTACACTATTATGTAAGTCCTTCTTGTAGTAATATTATAGATGGGGTTGATTGTAGTGTGTAACATAGATACTTAAATATTGATTAGACGTAGGTACGTCCTTATAGTAAAAAAAGTATGACAATGGCAAAATTAATATGTAACACTAAAAAAAAAATAACACCCAAAAACGATTGCCCTGCCCACATGAAAATCATGCAGTATCTTAAAATCTTAGAGGACTGTCGAAAAATATAGAAATTTTGATCATCTATCCCTCATACACACACCCCTTTTAAGCTATTGTCGCTGATTAATGGATGGGGTGGAATTGACTAAATTAATGAATGAATTGGCCTGGAATGAGCTAAAATTATATATGATAAAAATCTCAAATATTGGTAATTTTAACTTTGACAGCCTGGCTATGCAAGTGAAACTAATATATAATTAGTAGTGTATACTTAATTAATTTTAACTGGTGGATTTTCCACTTTATTGCCTGACAGGTATAAATGAAAGAAATGTTCCTTGTGCGGTCCTTTATTTCTATTTTGGTATCTTCACATTCAACGTCATTAGACATCATATTACCTACCTACATATATTAATAACATCAGGAATATAGACTTTATGAAAACATTTTCACTTACTATGACTTAGTATTTGCAATAACACTTAGAGCAGATATATTTATGGCAATTTTTTCGCAGTAATTTATTTACAAATTATAGTCATATCATTAGTTTTTTATACAAAATTATACATTAGTTCATTAGTCTCACTAAAACTTGGGAATGACTGGACCTGATTATGTAAGGTGCGAACAGTAAAATCATTATGTAAATATCTATTTCTTATTAACTATACATTATTGCGTGAGAGCCGCAGGCATAACTATTACAAAATAATATAAGTATTGTTTACAGCTATTATCAATTTTAACCTAAGAAATACATTAAAGCTTTGTAACTTGCACACAAATACCGAAAAGTACCTAGTTTGTAGTATTCAATTTATTATTAGAACAAAATGGTTATATGGAACTAATTATCATAATTACCGTCATAAATACAATAACTTAGTCTTCGTTTTATAACAAACCCTTCACTTAGTTAATTTTAAACAAGGCACTACTTGCTTGCTTGCTTTTGTCCATTTAGGTATAGGCCGCAATACACACTGTTACAATGTAGCGGTCTCAATAGCGCGACTTTATAAAACAACCAGAGGAATGCCAGTGTTTTCATCCACGACTGATTTTAAAAAATTGTCAAGTAAAATTCTATTGCAAAATTCATAGAACTTGGTGAAAAGGTAAGGATGAAAATTGTGGGGGCATAATCTCCAAATATTTCGCGATTAACCGCTCTCGAGAAAAAATCGTAGTGCGGCCAAGCCTTTATATGACAGTTATGTGCAATAAATTCATAGTATTATGCTTATAAATACTTCTTTTAGTACTATCCCTAATTCCATGTGATGTGTAAGTCTACGTGATGACTCCCAACTCCTCCATGGTCTCCAGATCTCGCATCAGCATCTGCACCGTCTGCTTGGTGCGCGGGCAGTACTCGGCTGTTTCATCGTCCTCGAATGACGGGTCTTGGGATTCTAGTTCTGGAATTAGAAACAATAATATTACTATCGACTCATGTATTAATTTACTTTTTTAATGTAAATCAAAAGTTGACTGCCTCATTCGCCGAGTGGTCGCAAGTGCGACTGCCGGGCAAAGGGTCTCGGGTTCGATTCCCGGCTATTATTAGCGGGTATTACTGGCTTTTTTACAGCACCGAGGCCGGAAATGTGTCCGGTATATGGCAATAGGCTCACCCCCTATTACATGGGACTCATAACATATTTAGTGAAAAGTGGGTGTTACATTGTAATGTGCACTCTACCTACTCCTTCGGGAATGAAAGGCGTGATGTTATGTAAGTAAAACAATCTAAAATGTGTCATCTATTGGTCAGCCGTTTTTTTTAGATCACCAAATACAGAGTCTATCGCAACTTGAAGTTGAAGTTTTTACCTTCCTGGATTGTTAGGTAACTTATAGTAACCATTACCCTTAGTCATAGTGATATGGTAACGTTACAATGATTTAATTTGAGTTCCCAATATCAGAAAGTTAAAAGTTCTGTTGTATCATTGTATGTTGAGTTGATAGTGTTGACATTTAAAAGTTTTTTAGAGAAATATAAACACACTTGGATCCCTACTAAATTATTTACTATTCAGTAATTGTATTATCTAAATAGCTTACCTGCAACCTGCGCCTCGATGGAGTCTAGCCTGGCGTCGATGAGTGCCTGGCAGCGTTGTAAGTGTTTCAGTAGCTGACGGCGACAGGTCGCGTTCTCAATGGGAGGCTCGGGTTGAGGGGCCACTATCATGGCGCGCTGGGCTTCTTGCTCTGTGGGTATTAAATTAATTACAGGCGTAAGTCAGATTGGAGCATGGTGTTGGTACACTTATTTGTATTCGTTGTGAATGAAAATAAGTACTACTGCACAGCAGCTGTAGCCAAATGCCATTTAGCGCTTGTCTACATGTAGAATAGAAAACCAAATTAAATGGAATTGACATAAATTTTGACACTTGTTACTTTCATCCCAATACATTTTGATTTCTACTCTCTCTGTAGACAAGCGCTAAAATGGCATTTGGCTAAAGGCACTGAGTACTTATTTTGACTTAGACTGCTAATATCAGCTTAAGACAAATTCGTATATCAAGCGCAATATTCACTATTATATCCTGGATAAGTAAAAAACAGCGACACACGTATTATTTTAAGTTTCATTAATTTATAATATGCATAAGCTGCATCATCATCATATCAGCCATAGGCCGTCCACTATTGAACATAGGCCTCCCCCAATTACTTCCAGATAGGCCTAAGCAGAAGATAGATATGCAAGCTTACCTTGCACAGATATAGCGAGTCGCTCCAACTCTGATGTGCTGATGGGTAAGTCGAGTGATGCGTCGCCCGGACTCGACAGTAAACCACTCAGTAGCGACTGAGCTCCAAGCTGCGCGTCCTTATGTGTATACCTGTGGTAGGAAATAATTGTAATATGAAAGAGATGAAATTTTGACAGATAAGCATAAAATAAAACATAACATCATGCCTTTTATCACCGAAGAGTTAGGCGCACCTCTGCCTACCTCTTAAATTACGGCACTTAATGCCACTGTACAATGTAACACCCACTTTTCACTATTTATGTTATGAGTCCCATGTAATAGGGAGTGAGCCTATTGCCGTATACCAAGCACAATTCCAGACTAATTATGTTTTTAAAAAGCCCAGTAGTACTTTGCCCGACCAATCGAACCCAAAACCCCTACTTCGGCAGTCGCACTTGCGACCACTCGGCCAACGAGGTAGTCCATAAAATAAAACATCAGGAGAAATACTTTTCTATTATTCGGTGGCAATGGTATTAGTATTGGTAATGGTAAGCGATAAGCGTCGGCCGCCCCTGGACGCCCGTAACACCAGCGAAGGAGGTACTAGATACAGATGAGAATTTTCCCTATTTCTTTCTTATCAATACAAATGTTCACCTACCGTTCCTGGTCCTGTTCTTCAGATGGTGGAGTCTTTAAGTCTAACTGTATGTCCTTCACATCTTCCGGTTTAATAGGTTTGTTCTCCTTGTCCATATTAATCATAATGTTCAGATCTGAATAATCAGAGTTTAGCTTCTCCTGCGTGTTCTGAATCTCAAGCTGCTCCCAATCCTTGGCCCATAGGTATAACTTGGGGTGGTCTTTTTTGCTGTAAATTATTAATGTTTTATTAATGTCTGTCAATTACTTTATACAGAAACCAAATTGATGAGTTTGGTACTTCATATTTGACTACTACAGGTTAGTGTACGAAATTCAGATATAAAGTGAGATAACTCGTGTTTATAAGAAATGCTCTCAAACATTTACAGAACCAGCTAACGGTTGTCCAGTTTTCACATTATTAGTCGCGATTTAGGTTCGTGTAAGATTTTATAGATATTCAAATTAATTATAGGCTTTCTCCAAAAATAAAATGTACACTTACGTAGCAACATAGTACTTGACTCTGAGTGCATGTAATGCGTCCTCGATGCGCAGTAGATTCCCAGCGAGTTCGTGAGAGCGACGTAATGTTTCACATGGTTTGCCGCCCGGTAGTAACCCTTCGTACATGCGATCCTGGTCGTGAAGGAAGCGCTGGGACCTACGCCCTCGACGAGGGTTTAGGCATATACTGCATGTGTATTTTTCGGGGACCTGTAATCATAATTTGTATAAATTATATATTAAGTATATAGCTGTTCCTGTTCCCCGCGACTTCGTCCGCATAATAATGACTTCTGGCAAATTTTGGATTATTTAATTAGTCTTCTCCAAGGTTAATTGCAATGCTGTCATGCACTTTCGGGTTACATTATCGAAATTTTTACACGATTCTCTTTTTTCTGTTTTATTAAATTGATGATGTAGGATTCCAACGGTAAAATTTTTCAAATCGGCCCGGTAGTCGCGGAGGAGATGCCATTCAAACAAACAAAAAATCAAATCTTTCCTCTTTATGCTATTAGTGTAGAATAATATCACCTGTATAAAGCACCTCTAAGCAAGTAAATAAGAGACTGCATGTAGGAAGCAAAAGTATTCCTGTTTTTCAACATCACCATTTCCATGAGAATTTGGATAAATGACGAGAATTTCTTTCTTCGACGCGTCAGTACAAATAACTTGAATTGTGACAAACCAACGGACTAAAGACTAAAACAAGTTCACGATTATAACACAAAATAAATGGTTCTCACGTCGCACTCCCTCTGTATGTTGTGACAGAGCGCGTGTTGCCAGCAGAGACAGAGCTCGCACTGCACCATGAGTCCGTCCTCCTCGCGGAACCCGCAGTGGCAGTTTATTATCTCCTCGCGCTTCATGTGCACTATCTTTATACGCTCGCCGTCTGAACAAGGAAATATGTTATGAACATAAGAATAATATGTCAAATCAAAGTAAAAAAGCAAGGGAATCTATGTGCCGCACTTCATTTATCACTTTTAAGTCTTTATAGCAAAACTATTCTATGCCAATGCTAAGGGTTTTATCTAAATGAGCTGTGCGGTAATATTTATTACCTAAGCTTATGGTAACTGCAATTTAATTATACAGCAATCTAGGCCTATTGCAGTAAAAAGTACTTACTCTCAGTATACATATACATATTAGAGTCCTTATTCTCCTCGTTAGACTCAGAAGACACCGGCGCGACCTTGAGGTCGGCTTTAGAGTCGGGTGTTCCTGACCGCGGGAAGCTTGACCGCGTGTCAAAGTCAGAATTAGCTCCCAACCAGTCTTCTTCCTCACTTGCCGGCCGTTTAGCAGCCAAAGCAAAGGTCTTACGTCTCTTCTCAGCTTTTCTCTTCTTCTCAGTAATAGGTTTGGTTACTGTGTGCGTAGATATCGCACTCTCAAAGTCCAATGCCATGTTTAAAGATGGCATCTCCATGCCAGGCTCGATGTTCTCTGTGTTCTCCACATCTACGTCTTCGTTTACTGGTTCAGGCAATACTGGCTCTGGATCAGGTCTTCTAACGGGCAATAACACCCGCGGTCTCTTCACTGGCTTGTTGCTTAAAGCCTGGCGAAGCTTGGGCGAGTCCTGACTCCTTGGTATTGGTAATTCAGGCTCCTTCACTGGAGCAACTGGTGTTGTATCTACCTGAGGTTCTGGTTTCACTTCTTTGACTTCTTGTTTAGGCTCTTCCCGTTTTGGAGGTCTCGGTATCTTCACTTTGATCACCTTGTCGTTGGTAACTCTTGGGCTCTCTACCTCAATGGGCTGCTTTGTCCTTGCGTACGCGAGGTCTAGAACTTTCGGTGTGTCTCCCAACATCTTTCGCAGTTCTCTATGATAGTGTTTGATATGCATTTGTATTAGAGTGTTGTTTCGGAAGTTCTTGAAACAGCCCTCAGCTGGACATCGGAGGAGATTCTCGATTATTTGAACTTTTAATGAACCAACATACACTGAAAAGATAATAAATTAAACATTAATATTCTGTTAATACATAAAAGCGTACTAATATTTGTAATATGTTAAAGAGCATACCATATCCATCTTCTAACGGAGGGACTTCTACGGCAGGTTCTGGCGCTGGAGAATTATCATTGCCACTTAGTAAACTTGGAGAAGAGACAGGATCTTCTGATGGTGGACGCTATTGGCAAAAAAATGGTATTAAAGTCCAAATCTTTGTCTTTATGTACGAATAAAGTCGTGGCGTAAAAGCGAAAGTTATCTACAAAACAAATCGACACTTACATCCTTTGGCACCTTCATCTTGATGGTAATCTTAGGTCTCTTTTCTTTGCCATCTCTCTTCTTCTTAAGAGAGAGTTTCTTACGTTTGTATAGCGGGGAGGTACAGCTGAGCGTGCCGGCGGGGAGGGGCGCTGCGGAGGGCACTTCCTCCTCGGTGTGAGTGATCCATCCCATACGACGCGCCAACTTTAGGTGCACTCCAAAGTCCGTCAACACGTATTCATATCCCTCGTTTATTAGCGATGGGTTGTTCTCCAAATACATTCGCATCTCATTCTTCGTGTGGAACCGTCGATTGTCGGGGCTACAACGGGGACATACTTTTTTTTATAGATTAAGCCGGTAAAAACGAGCAGACGGATCACCGGTAAGCAATCGGCGCCGCCCATGGACATCCGGAACACCAAGGCGTTACACAAGTGCGTTACCGGCTTTTTGGGAATTGGGGGATTCGGGTGACTAGGGAGGGGGGTAATTGGGCCTCCGGTGACCTCACTCACTCCGGTCAAGCTACTGAGGCCGTGGTATCACTCCGGTCGAGCCGGTCCAATCGTGCCGAAGCATGGCTCTTCCACACTTAAAAAACTGAATTATACAACTTATAAACTCTCACCATTTTCAACCAACTTCTGACTCTATAGTAAGAAGTTGGTTGAAAATGGCGCCCATTTATACGAACGATGCGAACTTTTATAGAAAAGTATAAATGTTCGCAAAAGGGTAAGCAAAACATTCAGAGCTCCATCTACTGTAATACACACATATATATATATATTATGAATCTGATTACACAAGCACACCAACAGCTTCTATTCCCCAGTACATTTAGAAATCAACTAATATAAATATGTACAATCTACAGTTTCAAAACAATATTACCTAACTAACACGACGTCCCACTTGCCCGCAGAATTCCCAAAGCTCCTACGAACCATATGTTTCGTCCAACCTTCAGGTAATCGCTTGTCTTCAACCTACAAAACATACAAACTTATATTTTTTTTAAACTGTTTCTTCCTGTAGCCACTTTATACATATTCAAACTATTTGATTTGATTATTATTACAGAAGGAACAAGATGGTCGCAATGATCTTTGCACAGAAGAATGGAAGGAGCCATTTGAAATAGGACAAAAACGGCTGAAAATAAACATCTAAATAAGTTTATATATATGTACCTGTACACTTCTCCTGGGTAGAGGTGGTTTACTGCCAGGCTCTTGTTGTTTAACCTCGCACTCGATCTCACTGACGGTACCAAGGGGCTGGCCATTGACCCACCGGCAACACCATTCATTAGGCAACAGGAAGGATTCAGGCAATATGGACCCCGGTGCTATATGTGCTAAGTCCGGTCTCTTTAGTATCTGTTTCCGCATCTCAGACATCTGTTTTCTCATCTGTTCTATTTCATGCTTTACTATCTCCACTTGTTTCTTTACTTTCTTCTCCCGCAATAATCTCAACTTCTTTCCTTTCTTAACCTTTGCTAGTTTCTTCTTATCTCTCTCCGTTTGTGCTTCTGCTACCTTGTCACTTTCTTCTTCTTTAACTTCCGGAGTTGGTTTCAGTTCTGGTGAAAATATTTCTTGTTTCAATTCTAATTCTACTTTAGGTGAGTTAACCTTTTCTATTTGACTCAATCCATCTTCTAGTTTGTTTATTGCTTCTTTGATTCTGTCTATCACTTCTTCGTGTCTCACGTCGTCTTGTTTTTCAAACTGCTCTAATTTAACTTCTTCATCTAAAACCTGTAAATTAAATTATTGCTATAAATTCTTATTTATAGGAAAATAATACTTAATTACAACATTTTATGAATTATATACCGTTTTATTACTACCACTCACTTGCACAACTGTAATTCCAGGCTGCTTTGAAACAAACATCTTTATATGAATTTTATGACACAAAATGTTTACTAAATGAAATGTATTTAGAAATTTACTTACTGGGTCTATTTCGCCTTTTAGATCTTCTAACTGTATGAGATCGTCTTCATTGTCATTTTGTTTAATTGATTCTTCAGTGGAGTTAAGCCTTAAACCTTCTGTTTCAATCTTCTTTTTTTTATCATCAGTAGGTTCTGGTTGTACTTCTTCTTCTTCTTTCTTACTCTCCTCTTGTACTGACTCCGGCGTTTCTTCGGCTTGCTTCTCATCTTCTTTAACATCTATATTTGCGGTTTCTTTGCTTACAGTACCAATGATTGAAGCTACTGCATCTACTGCTGTAAATTCATGTTAAGGAATAAATATCTTATTTAATCTAGTTGAATCGTCGTAACTGATATTCAAGGACTTTAAGAGCGGGTCGCGGAAATTAATACTGGAACGAGAGGTTTTTTTTAAATTCGTATCTGGAATTTGAAATTATAAAGAATTCATATGTAACTGGTGAAAAATTGGTGTATTTAGTAACATCTCTGTGTACCCCTTTTGTGGAATAAAAAGTGTACTTCCTAGCTTGTCCGCCAGTCTTATTCAATGAACAGTAAAGTAATAATAATACCAACCTGGCACATCGCTTTTAATTTCCGTCTTAATTTCGCTCTCAAGCTTCAACTTGACGGGCCTCTCCCGCCTCTTTTTCAAAATCCGTGGTTTCCTTTCCACCGTTTTATGTGGTTTTTCATCCGCACTCTTCTGCTTTCGAGACTTCTTCTGTCCTATATTAAATATTTCTTTTATGTTTAATTTGCGCTTCATTTCGCGACGTTCGCTTTTTGAGCCTAAATAATCTCTTGTAGGGTCAAATAGGTGTGTGTGGAAGGCAGTCTGTGTGTTCGCGTTGGACGGCCCGGCCCCGTGAGAGACGGGCGCGGACGGTGTGCCACTCCCCTGTTTCGAGCGCAGCTTGTGCAACCGAGACGTATTACACGTCCAGTTACAACCGTCGTCGAAAACAATTTCGTAATTGCCTGTCGAAAAAAAAAACAAAAATAAATACTTTATATCAAATAAGAAATGTTCGTATAATCTTGCCCTTTTCCCAAAATATAAAATACTTTGGTATTTTTCCAATTCTCATATTCATCTTTCTTTCTTTCCATTCATCTACATATAAGGGATAAAATGACCGGGACTACGTCTTACATTATAATTTAAAAAAACTTACCATCCCCCAGGTCTTTCAGAATAGTGGCAATAAACCGTCGGTTATCCCGCCATCTTGCAAGACATCGTTCTCCAATGGCGTAAGTCAGTTTAATCTTCTCTTCTGTCTTTATATCTTTCGCTTCTTCTTTCAGAGAAGATATAGGCAGTGTATCTGTGAGACTCTCTTCTGAACTGGGCCCAGGTTTGACTGTGGTTGAACTTGTGCTGCTACTGGTTGAGGCCTCATTGAAGGGTCTTAGACGAGGACTGCTTACGCTTATCCATTCGTCGTGTCTGTAATTTAAATATTTTTTTTTTTAATACAACTTTTAATATTCACATCACACCAAGACCCGCAGATTAGATAAATAAATAATTTTTGGGTAGGAACCGACCCGCAACGCGTTGCACAATAGCCGGTGGGTAAACGGCTGTTGTACTAACCGTTTAAGTATCTACTTCTTATTTATTTATTATTTTATGTACAAAATTTTATTATGGCACATAAGGCGAACTTTATGCCATATAATAATAATTCATTCATTCTTATAATCCTAATGCAACAACAAACATTACAACAGCGGAATCGCATAGTCAACAAACTTGAGATTTAGTATTGGTTTTAAAAATGTAGTTAGGTATTGTTATAGTTGGGGAAAGCATATTACGCCTTAATTTTTTGTGTATTGTTTGTAAATTAATTACCTTAATTAACAAGCAATATACAAAAATTGTAAACCGAAATTATTCGACACTAACTTCTGCCCGGGACTTCGTACGCGCAATCCCGTTTTCTCCCGTTCCCGTAGGATTTTCAGGATGTTTTGTCTTTAGAACCTTCTCCTAATAATAACAAATAGAACAACGCGCGATGCTGTGACCAAGGGAAAAAGAGATTCATTTTTATACATATAAATCATAATTAAAATATAATGTAGCTAAGATGTGTAGTAAGTAAACCGAATTCAAATTAGGAAACAGGATTTTTACATAAAAATTCCGAGTAAATGTTCTGAAGTAAATAAATAATAGTTTTTATAAATACCTGCGTCCTTCACGCAATGCTTTATTACGCGTATTATAAGTAAAAGACATTTTTCAAATTATTTAGAAATACAATAATTTCTAGAAAACATCCATTACGTGACCATAGATCAATAGAACAATTTAATTTTTTAAATAGCTGTCATTTTTTTTTTGCAAACCAGCCAGTTGTATCTTATCAAAAAAAAGGATTTAATCGATTTTCTTTTTTTTTTAGTTCGCCTTGACGCGTTGTGGAAATTGGCCTACGATCACGAACGAAACGAATAAATAGGATGACTTTCCGACTAGTAACTACATCTCCATGATGTGGTGTGTATTACAAAATATACGAATTAAGTAAAAAGTTGCTGGATTTTAAAGTTGGTTTTGCTTGATACTCTGCCTTCTTTAAAAATAACGTAATCAACTCACTTCTTTCTATCAACTTCATAATGTATAAGTACTTCCATCTCTTCATAGTCAACTTCTATTATTTCTGCAGCATGCCATTTCTCTTCAAAATCTTTAGCTTCTACTTTTGATCCTATTGAGAGTGCCATAGTACTGTTGTTACCTGTAGACATGCAAATATATTTTATAGGCTTTGTACAAAATTTCCTGAAGTAACCTATTAATCCCCAAAAGATCGGTAACGCCTCTAGTGTTCCGGGTGTCCATGAGCGACGCCGATTCCTTACTATCAGGTCTGTCTGACCGTTTACCGGCTTACCCCAAAAAAAATTAAACTTAAATAGAAATAACATAGTATAACTTTGATAATAAACCCTATCTCATTTAAAACTCTTACCTTTGTCTACTGGACTTAATAACTGTTTACTAGAAACATCTTTTTTCTTAGAGATGTCTACATCAGTCTCAGACTCGCTGTGTATCACACCCATCACAGAGCCAGGCTCGCACACTGTCTCACTATGACATGGCGCAGCACTATCTGCAGTGTCATTACTTTTCTCACTAATCTCAAAGTCAGCCAGTTTCTGCTCCTGTAATTCCTTCTCTTGCGCTTCTATAAACTTCTTAATTGCATCAACATTCTCAACTTCACAGTCCGCACTGAAACCTTCGACTGGTGCGCTTATGTCTTCCATTTCTTCGTCAGTATCGGAATCCCATGGAAATATTGAAGGGACTGCGTCTGAAATCAACTATACTATGAACAACTGATTTATTTGTCAAATGTTTGCACCATGCAACAATAATTCAGAAGAATACAATAATGGAAATATTGTCCATACTTCAACATTTCATACAGTTTATGTCTAATGACAGCAATGACAATAGGTATGACAGAAACCAAAAAGAATCAAATAACAAGCAGAGTTTCTAAACTAAAAATAAGTTACACAATCAAATGTTTAGCAAGATTATTTGATTAGCAAAATGATGAAATAAAAGTGAAAAGTTGAGACGCAGCTCGTACAGTGCTCTAGCAATCAAAATCTACAACAACATTCAATACAAATCAATACAACTACATGTCTACATAAAAAAAGAATAGAAATGAACTAAAACATTGATATAAATAGTAAACCATCAAGCAATAAGGACATTCTACTAAATACCTGGTTTCAATTTGTATTTAGAGTCCTTGTAACTTTGAAAGTCATTTTTACAGAAATGCCGTGAGCACACAAAGTGCGGCAACTCTGTGTCAGTGTGTTTGTAATGTGTAACAGCTACCCAAATGTCACGTATATTATCGTTTTTTGGGAACTTGTGATATGTTACACCTTTATCCTCCTTTCTTGTAGAACATGAGTTACAGTTGTCAATGCAACATTTTTTTACAGCCATCCTAATGTTAATATTTATGATGTAATATAGTGTGTAATATTAGTACTTAATTGTAAAGACAATTAGTAGAGAGAAACCATTCAACATATCTGTCCATACAACAATAAGGTACTGCCATAACCCATTAGCAAAAATCTAGTTACATTCTTAATGGAATATGTCTCATTATTATACAACCAGGTTTTCATATTATTATGTTAGTGTGGTTTTCCTGCTTGAAATGTATATTTACATGTTTACAACATAAATGTTATAATAATATTATCACAGAGTTACATTAACCCATTAGAGACTAGCCCTCTAATTAGACAGGTTAGTTCAGTGTATTTGGCGTCCCATTTGTTCCTAGCAAATACTGAAACCATAAATTACTATTTTACCAGGAATAATAATCATATGACGTAAACTTGATATGGTGTAAGCAATTAGATATATGGTGAAATGTTAACAAACGATGTTTTTCTCTGTACTTAATCTAGTTAGAACTTGGATTACAATTATTATCGTTTGGTAAACAGATATTTTTAGATTTTTAGTAATAAGAAATTAATGTATACAAACCTGTTAGACTCAATATATCAATGTATTAATACAGTAAGATACGTTCTAAGCAAGATTTACTTGCTTCAATCCTTAAATAGTATATATCGAAATCACAAAACTCGCTCAAATAATTGTTGTAACCAAAATACAATACCAATTGTACCAAACTGACAATCATTTCGCATTAGGTACGCCATGACATGACATGACACATGCATGACACCAAAGGTTTCCACAGACTATGTTGGTCTATGGTCTAATAGGTAATATTCCTTCCTTTATACTTAACTATTTTAAATGAACATTATTGATTGATCATTGTAAATGATTAATTAATTAATTTGATGAAAGTTTTCTAAACAGACTTAAACAAACGTTATAAGTCATAAAACTAATCTTTTTTAATTTCTTCTTTACTTAAGACATGAACTGTTGAACAAAACAATACATCACCAAACATCGTAATTGTAGTGAATTATCAAATATTTTGCCTTTTATTGCTAAAATAATATTAAAAATATTACCTATTCTTGTCTTTGAGGTAGATTAGGGTAATGAGGTACGGAAATAAAAATCAATAGCTGCCAACACCGAAAACCCAAATTACTTTTGCGGCCAAAAATGTTATTGACGTAGCATCACTGTGCGAAACGATAGCAATAGCATATAGAAAACGTTTGAGTGTGACAAGGATGCCAATAAAATTGCAGATGTTAGCTAAGGTTTACAATGTTCTACTTTTATCTTTGCTGTGGTTACTGACGTTTGACCTTTATTTATGTTGACGTTTACTATCCACAAGAATGAGTGTACATGAAATTGTTTTGTAAAGGGAAAGCCTAGAAATAGAACAAATAATTGATCAAACGTGAAATCTTACTTCAAATAAAATGGATTTAGCAAAATCCTTGTTTAGTTCTCGTGATCATGTTGGTTATGTGGGCCGTGAAGACCATGAACGTAAAATAAGTGCTGCATTAGCTGATGATGACCCCGAGGATATGATTGATGCGATACGAGGACTAAACATCGCTGACGAGCTGCTTCCAGCACCAGGTGGTCCATTTTCAGCATTAACGCCTAGTATGGTACCCCAAGATATAATGGCTAAATTGGCACAACCAGAATCTGAAGGTCACGGTGGTGGTCTCCCGGATTACAGATTTGACGAGTTTGGGTTTTGTGTTGAAGAAGAAGATGGACCAGAACAGAGTTCGAACAAATTACTAGCAGATGCTTTTGTTGAAGATGATCAACACCGTCTACAATGGGAATTTTACAGCAAAGAAATAAACTTTTCTGATGGTGAAGGGAAACTAGAGAAAACGGATAAATTGCAGAAAATGGTAAAAGATGGTGTACCACATTCACTTCGCCCTCAGGTTTGGATGCATTTATGTGGTGCTAATAAAAAAAGAGCTTCTACAGAAATAACGTACCATGAAATTGTACGAGCGTCTAGTGATGATGGATTGGTAACTAGTAAACAAATAGAAAAGGATTTGGTACAAATATTACCTAACAATGTTTGTTTCTCACATCCAACCAGTACAGGTGTGCCGAGATTACGTAGAATACTGAGGGCACTAGCATGGCTATATCCTGATATTGGTTACTGTCAGGGCACTGGAATGATTGCAGCGTCATTATTACTTTTAATGGAGGAAGAAGATGCATTTTGGATAATGTGTACTACTGTGGAAGATTTACTGCCAGCATCATATTACTCATCCACATTGATAGGAATACAAGCTGACCAAAAAGTATTAAGAAGTCTTATTTCAACATATTTGCCTGGAATAGACCAGGTTTTAAATGCCCATGACATTGAACTCTCTTTAATAACAATGCATTGGTTTTTGACCCTGTATGCTAATGTTGTGCATATGAAAATTTTACTAAGGATTTGGGATCTCTTCTTCTTGGATGGTTCTTTGGTTCTATTCAAGATCACCTTGGCCATGTTGAAAATTAAAGAAAATCGTTTTACTGAAATATCTAATTCTGCACAAATTTTCAATGCACTGTCTGACATTCCTGGTGAAATTGATGATGTTGATGTTCTTATTAAAACCATTGATGAAGTTTGTGGAGATACTCTAAGCCCAACATTGATTGATACTCACAGAAGGAGACATCTAGCATACCTCATGGCAGATCAGGGGGCTTTGGTGGGCAATCCTAGTGCTGTACCTAATTTGCCAAAGCAACAGCTACAAAGACGCCAAATAAAGAAAAGTAAGTCAGTAATACAAACAATACTATTTGGAGAAGATAGTAACAATGAGGATGCAGTTTCTAAAAATGTGAAACAAACAGAAATATTAGTTGATCTGAGAGAGGCTATTTTGCAAGTTGCACGACATTTTCTAGCTCTAGAACCACAACTAGCTTCTGAAGTCCAACTGACAGCAGATTATACAATGCAAAGTCATGCAGCTGACAGGGAAAGGTATGTCAATGTTTCAAGAAGTAAAAGGAGACGAGCAAAAGCACTGTTAGATTTTGAAAGAAGAGATGGAGATGAATTAGGATTTCGTAAAAATGATGTCATTGAGGTGATTAGTTCAAGAGATGAACATTGTTGGATTGGTGAGCTAAATGGCCTTCGAGGTTGGTTTCCAGCCCGTTTTGTGAAGCTCTTGGATGAGAAAGGCGTAAAATATAGCAGAGCTGGAGATGACTCTGTAACAGAAAAAGCTGCACATCTAGTCAGAGGAGTATTAGCTCCAGCTTTCAAAAGGGTACTTCTGCATGGAATAAAACGGCCTAGTTTCTTGGATGGGCCATGTCATCCTTGGCTTTTTATAGAAGAAGCATCTTCTCGAGAAGTTGAAAAAGACTTTAATTCAGTTTATAGTCGACTAGTATTGTGTAAAACATATCGTTTGGATGAAGATGGCAAAGTTCTTACGCCAGAAGAGTTACTGTACAGATGTGTTCAGGCCATTAACTTGTCACACGATAATGCACATGCTCAAATGGACGTTAAATTACGCACATTAATTTGTATGGGCCTAAACGAAGAAGCTTTACATTTGTGGCTTGAAGTATTGTGCTCCTGTGTAGATGTTGTCCAAAAATGGTACCATCCCTGGTCATTTATTAATTCGCCAGGATGGGTACAAATTAAATGTGAATTACGAATCCTTTCACAATTTGGATTCAATTTAAATCCAGACTGGGAGCTACCCTTAAAAAAGGATACGCAAAATCAACCCTTAAAAGAAGGAGTGCGAGACATGCTTGTAAAACATCACTTATTTTCATGGGACTTGTAAATTAATATTTTATTAATAATTATATCAATGCTATCTGTAAATAGAATTATATGTACCTGTGCACTGTTTGTCTATTATAATATAATATATCAATTTACAATTTGCTTATAAGCTGAATAAAATTTATGCCTATAATTTATAGTTTTAATTTTCATGTAAGGCACGTAACGAGATTACAGTACACATTCTGTTTGCCGAAATTGGTCATATAATTAAATGAAAAACCCATGTTTCGCCAGTTATTTATTACGTGAGGGTATAAGACTCAAAGGTTTGCCATCCATGGGACACAATTTCAAATTTCATTTTTTATGACTGAAAAGTTCAGAAATCTAAAAAAGATCAAAACTTTCGAAGATTATAATTATTATGTGCTTGTGACGGACGAAGTATAATCGAAAGTAACTTTTCAAAAAAAGTTTAATCAATGAAAAAACTAGCTAGCCATTTGCAGTTTTTTTTAACCATTATTAATCTCAACATTATCACCCTAATACTTATTATGATATTATACTCTTTGCACCCTACTGTGATTGCATTCCTAATAAAATCGATTACCCATTGTCCAAATGTTTTTTACAGTTGCAACACTACAAGCTGTGATGTTCCAGACACAGTTATACATAATTTTGATCATAATATAATTCTCGCGCTCTTTCTTTCGTATTGGTTGAAAAGAGATGCCAAACAGACCGATTTTTTTTACTGACGAGTTTGACAGATGCGAATGCTTTGACAGGTCCCTGCCTTTTTGTTTCTCTTCAATTCGTGAAGTCAAACGTGCTTGTTCTCTGAGAGCTAAGGCCTGTTGGCGACTTGCACGTCTTATAATTAAAAATGGCATCAAAGGCTGAATTAGCTTGCGTTTACTCCGCTCTCATCCTCGTTGATGATGATGTTGCCGTAACTGTAAGTATTCTTGTGTTATTCATAAATGTCGTTTTAGGTTATGTTCCACTCATGATATTATCCGTTTTCATCGTGAGTGTTTCTATAAAAACTATAAGTGAATTGACCTAAAACAGTCCTGTAAGTAATATCGCGAAATTGTGTCCTAATATTTTTCAGCCCAGTGTTGTAATTGTCATGGCGCGAATCTTATTTGTTGATGTTGTGTTTTGTAGGGTGAGAAGATCTCCACCATCCTGAAGGCGGCCAACGTTGATGTAGAGCCCTACTGGCCTGGTCTGTTCGCGAAGGCGCTGGAAGGCATCAACGTGCGCGACCTGATCACGAACATCGGATCCGGCGTGGGAGCTGCCCCGGCTGCCGGCGCTGCGCCCGCTGCAGCCGCCGCAGCGCCCGCTGCTGAGGCCAAGGAGGAGAAGAAGAAGGAGGAAGAACCTGAGGAGTCCGACGACGACATGGGCTTCGGTAAGGATATATTCTTAATCTATTTTCGTGATATTGAATATGGTGTACATACAGTGCTTATACAAATTACTGCTTACCCCATGGGGAAAATGAGCCATTTTGTCAAAAACAATAACTATTGTAGTATAATACATACATACATAACTTCACGCCTGTCTCCCATGGGGGTAGGCAGATACTAAGGAACGCCAATTACTACGAGTCTTACATACCTCTTTCGCTTCAATAACAGTCATCAATCTTTTCATGCATGCTCGTCAGACATTTAGTGACCAGATTGGCAATATATTAAAGAAGGGCCAAATTAAAAGTACCTTTAACCGACGAGCATGTAGTATAATATGCGTACATTAACAGACCCATCCATTAACATGAGAGACAGTTCACTTTAAATGGGGTCTTATATGAATTGTTTAAATAAATTCGTAAACCAAGATGTCTTTTTCATTTTGATTAACGGGATTTGTACTAGTAACTGATAATATATTAGAAGCAAAAGTGTATACACTGTAGTACACCTCTATTTTGTCCTACCATTCAAGAAATATGGTATTGATGCTAGAATTACTATAATTATCATAATTGCTTGACAGTCAATACTAATTCTTGTAAAACTTCAATGATGTTTGCATGTATTAGCTTCAGAATCTAATGATTGATAAACTTTACCACTGAGAAAAATCTTTAAAACCCTAAATATAGTTTTTTAAATGGACACCATCTAATTACAATTTTTATTTTGTTTCAGGTCTCTTTGACTAAAAAGCTTTGTGTTGAAGCTGGAATATTCCATTTTAAGCTTTATCAAGCTTATTTAGTTGTAAGACTAAAATGACTTTATAATAAAGTTTTTTTAAACTGAGTTTTTGTTTTGTGAATTCAATACTACTACCCTATTAGGATTCTGTCTATTTGCTAAGGAGTTATAATTTCATAAACTTCAAAGCAATAAGATGTTTTTATAATAACTATCGTGAGACATACTAAATTAACTAAAAAGTATGGGTTACTCACGTGAATATACTGAGAAAAGCTCTACCTGTTTCGAACCACAGAGGGGTTCTTCCTCATGAGCGGCGTGCGCGGTCGCGGCGACGTCGCCGCTTAGAGCTTTTCTCAGTATATTCACGTGAGTAACCCGCAGTTACTAGTGATAATTTAGCAATAAGATGTAGGTAACTTGCAATGTTCTGTGAATTCATAGAATTTTGTGTAGGTCTGTGTTCTCTAAAAGTGGCTTGTGACTAAAGAATATGAACTATGCATTCATGTCATTATAGTTATCATTGGAAAATATATCCTGTAAAAGGTATTCAACAACAAATTATTGTTTTCAGCTCACTCCCGTATGTAACTGATTGAATGTAATAATTAATTTAGTACTTACGTCTCACAACAGTTTTAACATAAACATAATTATTCAACAATGTTACATGCCATGACTATGATTGTCTCAGTATGGTAAAACGGGATGAATGGTTACAGATTACGAGTGAATTTATATTAAGATAATGTTCCAACATCTATTCACCCTGTTACAAGATCGCTGTGTAGATTACAGGTTGGATTCCTACATAGAACAATCCATAAATACATATTTCATTCTTATGTGATTTCTGGGTTTAGTCTTGATGTGTACCTATATAAAGTTACTACATAACATCACGCCTTTTATTCCCGAAGGGGTAGGCAGAGGTGTACATTATGCCACTGTACAATGTAACACCCACTTTTCACTATTTGTGTTATGAGTCCCATGTAATAGGTGAGCCTATTGCCATATACCGGGCACAATTCCAGACTCCGTGCTACTACTGAGATTTTAAAAAAAAACCAATTAGTACTTTGCCCGACCCGGGAATCGAACCCAAGACCCCTTGCCCGACAGTCGCGCTTGCGACCACTCGGCCAACGAGGCAGTCAAAGTTACTACATTTGTGAATATTGTGGTTTAAATGAAAGAAAAATAAAATAACAGATAAGCAACAATTTATTACAGTCTACAATACATTAGCTAATTACACAATAATAATCTATCCCCACATAGCTCTCTGTACTCCGGACAGTTTATTGTAGTCAGCCAGGTGCCTCCACACTATACGACTCATTCTCCATTCCTTCACTATGCCTCTAGGTCTGAAACATAAATTATAGATAGTTTAAATCAATAATTAATTTTAGATAGTTTAAATCAATACTTAATTTGGTGCTGTCTCTGTGTACCTCAGTGGGAGACAGGGTGTATTGAGAATATGTTATTACCCTAGGGTATTCATCAATTTTGTGTACCATTCTTAGAATGGGCGCGTGGTGAGCATTTTGCCGCTCAGCGAAACCTGGTGGTAACGAACATCTTCTCAACCGCTCCCTAGCGCATTAAGAATGTAAAATCTTTGAGTATGCATTGCTAAGGAGACTATAGGCAGCTATTAAAGATTGCAAGATTATCAAGTAATTCTTTAAAAAGTTATTAATGTTTTTTAATGATGTGTAGGTTGCAAAATTCTCAGTGTGCCCACTCTAGGGTTGATAACAATACATTTGTACATATTATACATATAAGTTGGTAACTTTCTATTATGTATTGTCAAGTGTAAAAGTGTTTTTCATACTTTTTCACACCTACTGGCCAGTTACAGGAATTTATCTGCAGAATAATTTTCTTCTCAGAGATATCTTGTATGCTTATACCAAATTCTTATAATAGATAATTGAAATGTAATAATAATATGACAAATATATTTACAATCCTTATGAATGCAGGTTACCATAACTATTCTACAGTTATGCATGATTTCAATACAACTGAAAATTGATGAATAACACTTTATTATAATAATAATTCCACCTTCCTCTAAATAGGCTGTATAATCAACTGCAAGATATTAATATTTGTTATTTATGTATATTAATATCACATCTGCTCGTGAAGGTAAAAGTGTATTCATTCAATATCCACATCTTCAGTCCTAAGTTATAGTTCTTTATACTCGTACCTTGAAGTGATAACACATCTGTTGTTAATTCTGAGAGGGATAGCATTCATTTCAAACTTGTTTATGTCTTTATCAGCCAGTTCTCTGATCTCCACGGGCAAGACGTCATTTTTCCTCATCGCATTGATCCGAGTCCGTTCAAGATAGTTTTCAGCACTCATACGGCGCCTTTTCACGTCGCGGATCATAAGCCAATTAGACCACTTGTTACGCACTTGCTGGAACTAGAAAGTATTCATATTAATCATTTTAATTTAATTTTACATTATCAAACCACAACAGGGAGTAGTAACTTATTCAATGCTATTCAATATTTAGCAAACTAAAGGAATTTACAACTTACCCCGAATCCAGCGACATTTTGAGTTTTCCACACATATTTTGCGACTCCAGATATATTAAGATTCATATTTTTATAATAGTTTTACTGTGTTGAAATGCTTTTAATTGAATATTTTCCGAAAAAATATTAAAATACTTTGAATTGAGGTTACCTTTAAGTACTATGAGTTTTGACATTAGACCATAGAGTAAAATATTATTTCCCAAGATGGAAAATGATTGCCCATGGGCAGAATTTAAGATGTATCTCGCTCGACGGTTAATTAAAAAAACACGGTTGTTTCTTTTTTACTCACCTGTCTTTGTTTAAGCAGAAAGAGATAAACACATCTATGTCATCTATACTAATATTATAAAGAGGAAAGATTTGTACCTATTTTTGTATGTTTGTAATGAATAGGCTCAAAAAGTACTGGGCCGATTTAAAAAAATCTTTCACCAGTAGAATGCTACATTCTTCCAATTTGACATAGACATACGTTTCATTTTGAAAAAATTGGGGATCCTTGGTAAAATTTGAACAATGTAACCGAAGGTGTAGTAAAATGAGTCTTAAAATGTCTTTCGTCGAATGCGCTGTCGAAACTCTTAACGATAGAACAAAATAATGTACAACAATATTGAAGAACATCATAATGTCTACAAAAAACTCCGCAGTAGCATATGTCCAACTATTGTAGTTATGTCACTACAACAATCCAAATTTACAAAAATAAATAATTGTCTACCCCGTGCAAAGCCGGGACGGGCTGCTAGTAAAATATTATTATATAGGTATGTACAACACGTAATGGAAGTCGATAAAAGATCCAGACACGGTCCACTGATTTGATGAGAGAATGGATATGAAACACCTACGAAATAAACGTGCCTACCTAAACTTCACTTGGTCTTCTGTAATGGCGGATAGAACTAGGGGTGTGACTTTTAAACTGTAGAAGTATCGATATTTTGGTATTGGTTTTAATTGACTTATGGATGAAATATCATCATTTTATGATTTATCTGGATTTGATTTTTATCTAGCTACTAAACATTACCAAAATATTAGCGAAATATATAGTATTTATTAGTTACTGCGTGGACTTTCACTCCAGTCGATCGTGTCCATACATTCACATCATAACTTTCAGGATACAAATGTATCGTAATTTATGGAAAGGATTTCCCATCAACTGGTCAACATTTACATACTTAAGGTTAAGTAATTTTTGAGGGTTGATAAATAAAACTGTTTCAAAGTATCTTATACTAATATGTATATAAAGTGGAAGAGTTTGTCTTTTTTTGTTTGTTTGTTTGAACGCGCTAATCTCCGTCACTACAAGTCTGATTTGATTAATTCTTTTTGTGTTGGATAGCGCATTTATCAAGGATGGCTATAGGCTATAAAACATCATGCTACGACCAATAGGAGCTAAGCAGAGCGTATGAAACCACGCGGAAGTAGATAGTGTATTCATAAAATCAAGATTTATAATATACAATATCTTAGTATTTTTAAAATTACTGTTTCCCTGTAATGTAATCTTCAAAACCATCTTTCGAGAAGACTCCAGTTGGTTCTAAGTTCATTTTCAAGCACAGACCTGGCTAGAGGCTGCAACATAAATAGTAATAATTTAAATCCAATCGAACATAGATTTCTATATACAGATTCTATAGGTACTGTACTAAGCTCTGAACGATAATGTTTGTACATTACAATGATAGTGATAGATAGCGAAGGAAAACAGAAACATATACAAGAACCCGGTCAGTTATGAACTTAATATGAATGTAAAATAAAATGTTAAGTTTGCACCTCTTCAAAAAATGCTTCTAAAACTAATATGACAAAACACATAATGAATAGTTTGTATTATGATTTGCCAATACAGCTTGTAGCGATAAAGCCCCGTCACGTAGATTTACTATTTGGATAACCCTGGGTATCGTGAGGGTTAAGCTGGGGGTTGATTAATGATTTGAATAAAACTAATAAAAGTACTTGGTCGTGGTTACCGAACACTTTTATTCCGAATTATTGTACAATAAAAATTACGAAACAATAGCACGTGACAAATGATACCAACATAAAATAAAATCTTTAGACACTTATACTATTGGCGGAGAATCTTAACACCGCGATTCAGAAAACGATCTCAAATAAAAAGCACCATATATGAACGAATGTTGGAACACTTGTTCTCTGAATCGCGGGTTTCTTACATGTCAATCGCTTGGCGGTTAGACACTATTAATTTATTGTTCGGTTAAAACATTAATCTTCAAAATAAAGTTAAAAAACAAAGATATGTTTCCTTCTAGTATCTATATTTTTCACATTAATTATTTCCTGGCAAGCACTTCAGTTCAATCACAAACTAAAAATAAAATTTATAATATTATTAAAATGATGGGCAGAGTTCGACTTCTGACAAAATACCCTAAAGTTATATTTCGTTTGTTTGCTTCATTTGATTCCCTCGAGCGGTATTTGATAAAATATATAATTTTGAAAAAAATGCTTTTCCCACAAGTATTTTTTCTTATCTCATATTAGTTATTAACTTTGTTTACCACGCACAAAAACAACAGGAATTTTACAAATTTTCTTAATAAAATATTGTGTTTGACAGCTGATGTACCACTGACATGCATTGATAAAAGAGACTAAGAAAGATGGCCAATTCGGCACACACAACAAGGTATTTTACAAATTACAAATTTTAAACACAGGTATTTTTGTTCTTACTAACTTACTAAGTTACATTATGTTCGCCAGTCCGCCTTTTTTCAATGCCCTTAGGTAAGCACGTCTTTTTCGTCGGTATTTCCAATCTATATATTTATATATCAATGGATTTTCCTGACAGCTGTCACAAATATCATTCTAAATTTTGGCTATGGTTGATATGTAAAAGTTTACTGTTCAAGTTCAAACAAGTGCTGAGGACGCTCATTGGTAAACAAAGAGATACATCAAAATCAAATACGGGAAACTAAACAACTGTAACAAGCTGATACGAAACTCAAATATGTCCAAAAGAGCATCATCTGAACTTAATAATACCAGCCAGAGCAAGAAATCTAAAGATGTAAGTAACACGTATTTTCATGTGTCTTTACGAGAAAGCGGGCTTATTCTGAAACATCCTCCAGAAAAATGCACAGCTTCCTATGAGACTATTCAAATTATCCGTAATCTAAAAAAAAACCTTGAAAAGCATTTTGATTACCCAAGAAATTTGATTGACCTGTTCATGAATTTAGAGGATGAGTGTAAAGATTTGGAAATATTCAAACATTACCTATTCCCTAATATTGTGAGGATCGGTGGAGATAGTGGTGAAGAGTACCTCGTAAGCGACAGTGTCATTAAGATACTACTTAGTGTTCCAGTCATTCAGAATAAAATAACTGAATACATATTTGAAAAGGCAATTGATTTGGCTGCTGAATCTAAGTGTGGACCCTGGATACGGATGATACTTAAATGCTTTTCCTCTCTGGACAGTATTGTGACTACGGATAAGATATCCACAAATCTAATTAACCTCTTAGATGTTGCTTCAGAGAAAATGGTCAAACTGGAGATAATAACTGCTATTCCTGATATAATTGGAGATCAAGAGCATGACAACATTGCTACCGAAATGAGCAGAATTCTAAGTGAAGATCGGGATCTGATCCCTGCTATTTTAGATTGCCTTTCCTACTTATGTTTATCTGATGACCAGTATGCCAAATTACAGACTAAGTCACTTAATCTTTTATCAAGTCTCTCCAGATGTAGTAATTTTCCTAATTATGTTAAATTCCTGTTAATGCCTGGGAGAATGAGTGATGCCTCTTATTTGGAAACAGTGCAAGGATTGAGGAATGCTCTAGGATGGACTATTTCTATGAATTTTGAGGAGAGAACTACAAGCCAGGTACTCACTGCTACAGCTATAAGGAATTCTATGGTTTCATCCAAGGTTATTAGCAATTCATGGTTAAAAGCAATATCTTTATGTAAAGACTCTGCATCCTACAAGCCCATTGATTTTATTGTTCTAATTATTGCATATTCAACAACAGAAGAGAAAAAAAAACAAGTAGAAAACCTAATTAGAAAACAAGTCAAATTAAATATTCTCAAAATAGAGTTATTGGACAAGGTGTTCATTCATTTGCTGCCAATATTAAGAGAATATTTGAAACATTTAATTGATCTTTCAAATTCACTGTTAAAGACAAATACTGATCCAGATAGCAGCCTGGATATATTCACTGGCCGTATATATACACACTTGTTAAAATATTTAGATGATTGTCGTGACGTAATTATTGCAGGACTACTACAGTTAGGGCTTGATTCTAAGCATTGTGTTATGAAGATCATAGTTATTTTGAATAATACCTTTGAACATGAATTTGCTCTTTTGAAATCACAAAGTGTTCAAATGCTGACACTACTAGACAGACTAGATACTATGTCTCTGGATGAAGTAAGGGGTGTGATGAATGTGCTATGCGCATTAGCCTATTCCTTTAGAGAATCAGTAATTAGAGACGATCTCCATATGATAATTAGAAAAGAATTAGGATCTTCCAATCCAAAAATAAAAGTTCAAGGAATCCTGGCGGGAGTCTACGCCGTTAGGTACCTACTGTATGAAGACACAAGTACCGTCATTGAATATGACAGGCAAGGTAATCGTATCGCCCGTACTGCTGATCTTGAAAGTAATGCCCGTGATACAGCACAAATAATAGAACTATTAAGCCAAAGCACTAGACAATTCCCAGATATGACTGCTTTCTTCTATGATGAATTGTCGAAAGTTGTATTGCGAGCTTCACTCTCAAATAAGCGGGCCTTGTTATGGCTTACTGATGCTGTAACCAATGATTTACAGCAAAATTTTATTGTTGACTCAATAGAAGTTGATAAAATTAATGATTTAAAGTTAACTATGCAGTACTGTCTTAATGCAGAGGGCGAAATTGATGAGGTGATTGCTATTAACATTGCTGGTTTAACTTTGGACTCTAAGGCTGAAGTGTATATTGGCATCTTGTCTCCCCTCTTTCAACTTGTCCAAACATTGCATTATAGGCAATATGACGGCAATTTGTCAAGCATAGATGCTCTATTAGGATGCCCTGTTATTATGCCGAAGTTTGACATAAACTTAATTGAAGATATGGATTCAGTAGCAATTACTAATATTTTAGATTGCTTAGTCCATTGTATAAATTGGTTCATTGAATTAATCAATGCATTTGCAACCCAAAATGATAAAGAATTGAATGGAAAGATACTAAAAAGGATATATCAAATTGAAGAGTTGGAAACAGCTGTTAAAGAAATTCTTATCAGAAGTAAGATTTCTTATAAACCACCTATTTGTTCTTTTAATGTTAACAAATATAATGGTGAACAACTTGAGGTGAAACCTATAAAAGCACAAACTGGTAAACAGAAAGGGTCAACAAAGAAGCCTGGCCAAGATGATAGTGTGCTACCACAAACTGCAAGGTCTCAAGCCACACAAAACAATGCCTCTGTGAAAAATAGTCTAGAACTAAGTCACAATATTCCAGTCAGACAGTTAAATTTGAATATAATCCATTTAATTAAAACTGAAATGACTGAGGACAAAGCATCAACAACTGAACTCACAGTAAAAACTCTGACTTTTTTGTTAAAAAGTCTAAACAGTAACATAGAAAAAGTGCTATTATCCAAAATTAAACGAAAAACATTTCTATCGAACCAAAACAGTGTTGCTTATAATGCTGAGGAAGCTGAAAAATGCGCGAAGACTGTTCAAGACGTACTACCTCAACTGGTAGAACATTTGAAATTTGTGACTTTATCTATGGACAAATGTATGGGAACTCAAGACGAAAATGAAGTTGCATACACAATTGATTTACTTAATCTAATCACTTGCTTGGAGAGCATCTTCAATTTCTGCACTATACATTTTAAATGGGTGGGTTTTAAACTAAATGTTCACAGTCCTTTACTGAAGAGTTCTCTGAATGTCATAGCAAGCACAAGTGATGATGCAGCAACTATAGGAGACCTTCTAATCGCTGTTGCTCAGAATCTGCTGAAATATGAAAAGTATTGTTTACAAATCTCTACTGCAATATCTCTCATAGAATTTTTGAAAAGTATACAAATCCATTCTGATAGCGTAGTTATACTTAACATTTTAAAGATACTAGCTCAGAATTTCTTATCGCGGCAATGGAAAACTCCTGAAGGAACATTAGAAAAGGGATTACTTTATAATCAAAGCATAGATATTTTGGCTTCTATTTACTTTATAAATAAAGAAGTATTAGCACTGAAAAAATTGAGTTTGCAGTTAACAGAAGAGATTCAATTGCTTAAAAGTAATAAAAATACTTTAAGCACTTTCAAGTGCATAAACAAAAGCAATTTTCCCATATTGTATAGAAACCTGGGCTCTGCGCTTCATGATGCAACTAAAGCTTGTTTAGAGAAAGGTATGACTAACTCTGAACATTTACATTTGTGGAAAGAAGTAGCTACTATAATGAAACATATGTCTGACATTGCAAAAACCCTTGAAAACAGAAATAATTTAACTGCGTTCTTTAAGAAATCGTTACCAGTTCTAAAACTTTTCATATCACAAGGAATTCCTATTTTGGAAATTCAGTTTAAAAGCGAAAATCAAGAAGTTTTGGAAATTCTCAAAATTCTCCAGCAATCCACAAGATTTTTACAAACATTATGTTGCCATTCAAGACTGAAGAAAGATACTGTATTGATGAGCAAGGTTCCACATATGAGGCAACTTCTCGAAACTTTGATTTATAAAGTAAAAGCTGTATTGGCTGCGAATAATTGTACCGAGGCGTTTTGGATGGGAAACCTCAAAAACAAAGATATTCATGGGGAAGTTATTGCCTCTCAACAAAGTGTTGTAAGCGAAGACTCTGTTGAAGATTGCGACGAACAGTTGCCTGAAGATGAAGACAGTGACGACACAGACGATGACATGCTAAATCCAGATTCTAGAAGTGTAAGTGACATTGTATGACTGCCTCGTTGATAGAGGATTTTTTTTACCAGGCACTTTGCTCACTATAAATAACCGATAACGTAACTGAGCCAAAGTAGTGCCATAATATTATATTGCGCCTCTGCTTACTCCTTAGGGATATGTATTTTAAAAACAAAATAAACGTTTCCATATTCGTATTTTGGTTTTTATTTCTACCCTTTGTGACCTACCTACCTGACAGTTAAGGGCTCGTACACAAAACTGCGATGAGATTGCGTAACGCAAATAATTACGATGCGATTTCATGCGACATGCAGTCTCCCAGGGTGACCATTCCTTCGACGACCGTCAACCGTACTTTTAAATTGAAAACTAGTTCGTTACATGGATCTTATAAAGAAGTGTGCACTTATATTATTGCTTAGGAGATACAGGAAAAGAAACAGATATTGATGCGCGATGCAAATCAATTCGCTAGTTCTTGCGATTCGTAGCGTAGAGGGAGCTCGTACATTAACATAGGTACTTCAAAAAAAGGAGCCCTCTAAGGAAAAACAAAGAATACCGTACAATATAATGTACATATTTTTAGCTTCGTTAGATTACGATTATTGGTCAAGTCAATATATGTAATGAAGACAAATTTCAAAAATTATTGGATAGGTCCCTAATATCTCGGCAACGTATTGATGTTGTGCGTGTCTAAGGGCGGCGCTACTTGCTAACATCGAGACATCGATGTGCTCGATACTCTTCCTATCACATAAAAACGGTAAAATAAAAGAAATATGTACAGTAAAGTCAAATTTATTGATACAGGCTTAGTACAATCTCTGGGGTGGTCCCATTGTGGACTTCATATGCAGTGAGCGCACGTTTTGCCAGTGCTTCTTCAGCAAAGAGACCAGGAAGTTGATTGACAAGTGCACATTCTGTGCAAGCTCATCAGGCGTCATGTCCACATGACCAACAGCCACAGACAGGCACAATACCTGGAATAGACATATTTACACCATTTATCTAAAACTCTATACATAGGAAAACTATAGTAGACATGTTAAGCTCCAAGAAAACTAGATGTTTGGTAATTATTAACATCGAAATGAAATCTTATACTATTATATAAAGCGGAAGAGTTTGTTTGTTTGAATGCGCTAATCTCCGTAACTACAAGTCTGATTTGAATATTTCTTTTCGTGTTGGATAGCGCATTTATCGAGGATGGCTGTAGGCTATAAAACATCACGGTACGACCAATAGGAGCTGAGCAGAGCGTGTGAAACCGCGCGGAAGTAGCTAGTTTGAAAATATAATATGTTGAATTTGTAAAACAAATTGTGTGATTCCATAAGACTTATTAATAGAGAAATGATGTGACAAAAATTAACAATCTTCGTACAAGGATAACTATTTAAAAAAGGCAATCCTTACCTTCTTCATCTGGAACTTGATGGTGGCTTTGACTTCATCAATCTTCTGTGTCATGGACTCCTGGTGGGAGAGGAGACCAGGGAATTTACCAGCCTTGTTCAGACCAGGACCCAACAGACGTGGGATCTGCTTGATGAGGGATTCTGATGCAAGGAAGGCATCATATCTGGAAGATAAAATATTACATTATAATGATGTAAGTACTTGAAAAATCTAATGAATATTGTTTTGGATGTCAATTAGGTACTTGAAATAAATGGTTGCATAGTGAGTTCAAGTAGATTTTTAATCAATAGTTTTTAGTATAGAAAAATTGTCTAATATTCAAAGTTGTTCCTCTGAGCATTGAAGAACTGGCCCCAGAGTTGTAATTATAAATACCCCACATTTGTAACATTTTTTTATACTTATAACTACATACATAGTATAAAACAAAGTCGCTATCCTCAGTCTGTCTGTCTTTATGTAGGTATACTTAAATCTTTAAAACTACTAAACTGATTTTGTTGCATTTTTTTAATATATAGAGTGATTCTTACAGAAGGTTTATATATATAATACATGTGTATTACATCCGTGCGAAGCCGGGGCGGGTCGCTAGTACTTAAAATAAATAGATTGGGTCAAAATGTACTGATATAAAATGTGAATTTTAATAATAGCTAATGTAAACATTTAATACTCACTTCTTTGCTAGTTTCTTGACCAGCTTCTTGTTCTTGTTCAGTTTTTTGAGTGCCTCAGCATCCATGCAGGGTACCGTCAGAGTCTTAGCCTCATCACAGTGCTGTTGGTCTCCAAGTACACACACTTGCATCTTGGGGCGGGGAATGTACTTCAACCTGAAATGTACCTGGACTGTTAATTGTTGACCACATGGTGTAAAACATAATTTGATATTGTCATGGATGGTCAGTAGTGTAAATCTTCATCAATATCAACAGATAATACATGCAATTTTGAACATCATTCTAAGGAATTGTAAGTTTATGTTTGCCAATACTCATACCCTGTTGATCCCCACACAAGATAAAAAGTTACACTTTTAACTACTGAATACTTTTACTTAAGTCCTAAGGCATACCTGAGGCCATGTTTTCATCATCTTAACCTAAGTCGGTAGGCCGAAGCCTTCCTACCCGTTATTTTAAGACTCTGGGTCGAGTCCCGTCGGTTTTCACCGACTCCCTGTCCAGATTCATCTTGGTGGGGTTATAAACTAAACACATCCCACTAAAATGCTCTTTCCAGGTAAACGTACTTGACGGTGCCTGAGAAACGCTTGTCCTTCTGGGGGTCATAGTTCTTCAGACCAATTTGGAGTTCAACTGTCTCCAAGAAGTTACGTTTCTTGTCCTTCGATGCCTGGAGGACGGCATTTACGCACTCGTAAAGCGTATCACGCGATACCTTTGACCTAAAACATGGAATTTACACATGAAACATCTCACAGGTTAAGATTTAAACTGCTATATAAGTACGCCATCAAACAAAGAAATAATTAATGATATTTATAAATTTACATCTTAATTGTAGAACTCGGCACAAGGCTTTAAGAGAAAGTTATCGATTAATAAAATAACTAAAGATTACTTACGACATTGTGGAAGAGTTGTCCTCTCTTCACGTTGTCAACGAATTGAAAGAAGGATATTTGACTTTGACGTTTGAACTGTATAGCCTTCAACTAGTGATGTCCAAACAGGAATCGATAGTTTTAGTAACTGTCAGTTGGACTTTCCGTATACGAATATTACTATATAGTACGTTAATATATAGTACGTTACAATTATAAACAGTGAACATAAATAAACTATCGCACGTGCCATTCGATTTACATAAATTATATTTTCTATTATGTTTTCGGCTTACTCACGTAAACCAGTAGCATGGCTTGAAACTAGTCGAGTTCCTCGTCAAATAATTACGTAAGGTGTGTAAGTCGAAAATATAATATTTAATTTAGAATGTCTCATGAAAGTTATAATATAAATTCTATTTTCCACAAAATTTTTACTTTAGGTACATTTTTACCGACCTGTATCCATAGTAATATAACTTTCGTGTAACTTTAAATTTCTACAGCTCGGTTTGGGCTTGGAGTCATGTGGATCCTTAAATTATTTAACCAAATAACTACTCTATTTGGAACATTGGTAATGGCACGAAATAAATCTTTTTATTTTATTTTAATATAAAATAAGAGGTAAACGAGCAACAGAAGGATCACCTGGTGGTTAGCAATCAGCGCCGCCCATGGACACCCGCAACACCAGACTCCACTGGTGTTGTCAAATATACTTAGTTCATAGCGGAAATCTGGTTTAAAAGCAATCAATAACGTCAACAAATTATGAAATCCCGTCTATATAATTTATATAATTTCATAAAAGTCAAATCAAAACAGAGTTGCGTATTTATTATTTTTGCGCACTTTATCCAAAATCAAAGTATTCGGTGAAGCAGGTTGAGGGAACCTTGGACTGGTTACGTACCAATCCGTTTTCAGTAGAGCCGGGTCATGTAACCACCAACCGACCTGAAATTATTTTAAGTAAATAGCAAATGTACTTTACACGGTTTTTTTTTACCTTGATAGGTCGAGTAGTCAGTGAGTAGGAGTACCTCTTGATAAGTGGTTGGCGGAAATCTATACATATCACAAGGAAAAGTCGGTTTTATAACTCCTTTACGTTTCATTCTGACAAACCTGCCTGTAGAACCGTAAGCAAAGCCATTTACTCTTCCCATATAAACATCTATAAATCGAATCACATCTGCATCCGGACGTTGTATCTGTTAAACAAATAGTAGTATTATAACTTATATGTACCTCTATAATATATTATTGTATTTTTTAAGGGGGGAAATCATCGAATGACTTCTCCCGCCTAGGTGAGGCGGGAGGGAGTGTCAGACTCTTACTGACTAAAAACCACCCCGTTCCTTCTCTTGCACGTCGAGCCGGAGCCCCGGTAACCCTTTAGGTTCTCCACGACATATTATTGTATTTAAGTATGAAAATGGGTATTTACCGTTTTAGGAAGAGTAGAATATTGCTTTACTTTTTCCATTAAAGGATGTACCTCTTCTTTAATCATTGGTTCTTGATATTGTTCTATCATTACATCGTGCATATAATTTTGAGGACCATAATGAGTAATTCCAAAGAACTCCATGATTACAAGAAAATATTTTGCTAATAATGTCGAAATTTTTAATGAAAAGTAAGCATATGTTTGTAACGGTATATTCTAAAATAATATTATAAAATAAATAACTGTGACAGTAAATATTATGACATATATTTAAAAAATTTAAAGTCTTTGGGCTTGGAGTGCGTTGCTCATTGCTACGGCGTTGTTTTATATGTGTCACAAAATATCTCAGAAGGAGCGTAATATTATATAAATCCATAAAATTGCCAATTTTCCAAACTTTCGGAAAAAATTCCAGGATATTCTTTATTCACTCATCTTTCTTCTATTCTTCCAACTTAATGATCGAAATGTAGTCAAATAAATAAATACAAGAGGCATCGCGTATATATTTGAAGAGTTATAGTTCGTCATCGATACAAATGGGCCAATTCGACTAGAGAGAATGAAGAGAGCCCAGACTAGACTACTTCGAGATTAGAGAGAGTACGGCCTTTCGGAAACCGGCGTAGCATAACGTTTGCTATGTGTTTCGTCATGGTTTCGTCTTATCATTTCCAATCCATAAATCTTAACCCCAAAGAGCCGGTAACCCACTGCCAAGCAGAAGTGTGCCAAATTTACACGACCCGGCCTTCGGTTTTTGTTTTAACTTTTGTCTTGTTTATATACGTAACTTATTCTATAAACTTTAAATTACATTTATTTTATTAATGTACTAATTAGTAGTCTTTTCAAATTACACTACACGAGCGCCAGTCAGGACGTAGTTGAACTTTTGTTCCTTTTAAGCTGTGTTATTAATTTTGGAATCAGAAAACCGGTAAAACTATTTGTAGTATGCTTCATTCATCATTCCAGGTGGGTGGGTGGGCAAGTGCATCACTAGTTGACACGACAGGTGTGCAATTTTTGTGAATACATATTTAGTTTTTTCTTATTTATTTTTATCTTCAGTCTGTGAATCGGAATTTAGTAATTTACATTGATTGGCTGATTACTTGCAGGTAGTTTCGTCATCATTATTTGTATGCTCTGTGCATCGTACTATGACGTCAGTTAACAAGAATGGAATACAATATCAAATAAGTAGTGAAGAGTTGGCTAACCATTATTTTAAACACATTAATATTTGCCGGTGTGACACACAAAAGTGTCAAGTAAGATAAATAATTAAAGTTTATGTTATTGACTGTATATACCTCTCCATACTTCTATTTATTTGCCGATATTTATACATTTGTTTTGCAACCTCTATTGTAGTTATCGCTTACGTTTGTACAGGTGTGCACTAACTTATTGAAAATCTCCCTTCCCGTAGAATACAAGGCAGCATGGAGGAGGTAAGACACGACACTTACGCATGCGTATTGTATTAGGAGCCCGATTTCATTAGGACACCGTGAACGCTGGTCGTACCCAGGCCGGTAACAAAGAGAATATACAGTTGAATGTAATGGTCGTAAAAAATCCTGGTGTCAATGTTGTCGGCGACTTTTATCACTTGCATAAATAGTAGTATTCAACTATGTAGCACTATATACACTCTGCCACAAGTTGCGCGACATTTTAGTTTCTTTCACTTAGAATGTACAACAAAAGAACAGGCAGCACTGTTTGTTTTGGTGACTCTTGCCAGGCTGCTTTAGAATCATGGTTGCTCACCTGACATGTCCAAATGAAATAGGACTCTAATTGACCTATCCTTTTTCTGAAGTTGCACTACCACCATTGTTCCTATGCTACTGACATCAGTATTTATTATGTATGCATGTATGCATTGCCTGCCTTAGTGCCATCAGAAATTACATCTACAAGATTGCTATCAGCCAGTCTAAGCTGTAACTGTTATGAGAGAAGCATAAGTTATAAAACCAAGCTTTATAAAATAGTAATAAATGTGAAATGTATAAAACTTTTAAAGTAATACTGTTTTGCAAAAAACTCCTTGAAATTCTTATAAAGAATTCTTGTAATGTCTTATCATTGATTACATCAATGAAAATAGATTTATCAAATGAATTTTACTTATTATTAATTAATATTTTCAGTTAATTGGAAGAGACAGTCAGTCGAAGAGGAACGTTCCACCAATGTTGAAGAAAATACTGCAGAATGATGTACAGCTTACAAAGAAACTTGTTGAATCTGCAACAAGGGTTACATGGACAAGATCACTACGCAATCATTCAAAACTATTTGAGGTATTCAATTTATTTGTAATATTATATTGCATTCCTAAGAGTATCTGTAATATCTGGTCTGTTTGTTAATATCTGGTTGATAGTTAAGAAATATAAATTTGTGAGTCAATAAGGATATGTGTAAAGAAACAAAAGACATTAGCAAACGCAGTATAGTTTCATAACAGAAACTTATTCCTTTTTAATATAAAGTTAAATAAATTACCTCATTTAGAACTAATTTTTCGCTTGTACAAAGACTAATAAAGTTAGAAATGTATGTATTAATGTTATCTTTGTTTGCAGGTGTCTTGCCATGGCATTGTGTGGTTGGCAGCCTGGCTCACATTTATCTGGTTATTTAACAAGCCAGACCTCTATCAGTTGCAAGTTAATATGCTCATAGGTATGTTGACACTACATATTTTTAATGTGTTGTAAACTTCACAGCTTTGTTTCAGTATCTTAGATAAGTAAATCCTTACATAATTATTATGAAAATAAAAGTCTGGTATTTCTAGGATTTGAAGAGTTCAAAAACTAGCAGAGATTTTTGTACCATTTTTATTAATATTATAGTAGAGACAAACTTTAAGTTGGCTGTATTTTTTTATCTATCTATATCAATACATAGTATAAAACAAAGTTGCTTTCGCTGTATGTCCGTATGTATGCTTAGATCTTTAAAACTACGCAACGGATTTTGATGCGGTTTTTTTTAATAGATAGAGTGATTCTTAAGGAAGGTTTGTATGTATAATAAATGCATATTGCACCCGTGCGAAGCCGGGGCGGGTCGCTAGTTAAATATATATATCAGATAAATACAATGAATATATCAGATTGCTGTTACTGCTCCATCCAATGGTTGTCTGTAAGAGATCGCCTTATGCGATAAGACCACCCATTGTACACTATATTTATTTTTTGTGGTATGTGGTCTACTACAAAATATTTATAAATAAATATAACTTATTATCATTTTAAAATTTGCGGACAGTGCTACGGGCGAAATGCTAATTTAATCTAAAACTCCAGAATTGTATGGTAGTCCTGAACATTTGGTAATTGCATAAGGTATAATAAGCATATATTAGTCTACCTATATTGATGAAATCTGTACATGACTGCTTGTTCCACCTACAAGTAAATATTAGACTTACTCATAATTGGCATTTCAAGGTGAAATCCTATTCTATTTAGAATGGAATATTAAGGTCATCATGTATTGTATTGTTTGACTTTAGTAGATAAAATCAATTGTAGATTTACAGAGAAATCCTGTACTATAATATACACATATAAGTGTGTAATGGAATGAAAAATGTTATTATATTGCTGAAATAATTGAGCAATAACAAAGTAACTTTTTTGATAGTTCATAAACCCAGTTAATATGTCGTGATGGCCCAGAGGTTTAAAACGCCCGCTTCTCATGCATGAGGGTGTGGGTGAAACTTACCAATGGCAAGTACCAATGTGACTTTCGGAGTTATATGTACTCTCTAAGATTGTCTAGACACCACTGACAAACTGTGAAGGAAAACACCGTGAGGAAACCTGGGCTTATAATTTCTAATTATAAGTTTGAAATCGCCAACCCGCATTGAGCATGGTGATTCATGTTGAAACCTTCTCTTTATGAGAAGAGGTTTTTCTCAGTATTTACAGGCTGTTGATGTGATGTGTGATGTGTGACCCAGTTAATGTTTTACAGGATTTTTAATTTACTCAATTTCTTTACATTTTCCCCAGCACTCATCTTGGACATCATAGTCATAGCTGTACTGAAGGCATTTGTCCGTCGCCGGCGACCGGTGCCTATGAACAAGCTGCTAGAAGTTGGACCAGACAAGTTTTCCTTCCCGTCTGGACATGCAAGCCGAGCCTGTATGGTGGCTACTATCCTTATATTTAATGAAATTCCCATCTTCTGTCTCCCACCTCTTCTTGCATGGGTAACTACAGTGTGTCTCACTAGAGTACTGGCTGAAAGGCACTACATTTTGGATGTATTATGTGGTATGGTGATCGGTATCCAAGAAGGTTTACTAATCTATGTGCTGTGGCTGTCCCAGAGCACCTGTGCCTATGTTATAAGTTCCTTATCTGATGAGAAGATTGATGGAGGAGAATATCATGTGTGATTGTATTTTAGTCCTACTTTTAAATAAAATCCCTTAGATTTATAAGTCTATGATCAAACCAAATAATCCAAGGCCAAGGCTATTTATATGGCAACACTTTCCATCAACTATCAGTGTTTGCCACAAACAATTAATATGTTGTTTTAATTTTAAAATTTATTTATGTATTGTTTTAACATGAAATTCCTATGAATGAATAAAGTCGATTACTTAGATTATTTATAAATGTGTTTTTGCATCTTTATATTACGTAAAAAAATGTTATTGTCATAATATACATACTTACCTACCTTAATATACATAACACATTTCGATACCTGTGATGAGGATTTACCTACACATTATAAGTAGTAGAACTTATTTTATAATATCTGATAATCGTGTGTTTAAGTTAAAGGAGTGAGCTTATAATATACATATTCATGTAATGAATAAATGTGATTAGCTACTACACACTTTTTTATTACCTAATCTATTGATATCAATACATCTATATTTTATATTCCTGGTTAACAGTAACGTAGCAATAATGTAAACAATACGGACGCATGCGCGGTTAGCGCAATCTGGCGCTGTTCCACGAGGCGCGGGTTCAATTCCCGTAGGGATTTCTTGTGTGATCCACAAATCGTTCCGGTTCTGAGGGACGTTAGTATAGTAAACATATCCATAAAATAAAAAATAATTTATTGTAGGGTCATTAAAAAGAATTACCTACAAACCGACCAAGTTCGAGTCTAACTTGAGCACTTTGTACCACTACCAACGAAAACTGCAAAAAATATCGTTTTGTAGCCATTGTAACAGTTGGAGTTCTTTTTTGGAATAAAGCAAAATGTTTAAATCTATTGAATTCGACAAAACCGCTTTCAAGCAAGATGGATTTCCAATAGGCGCGTTCAAAAAGATTGATTAAAGAAAAAAATCGTTCTGTCAAAGCAAATTTTTTTGTCAAACTGTCAGTGTCAAAAGTGTCAAGATTACAATAATCACAATCCAATTTATCAAACTGACGTCTTGCGGTGTGACGTGTGTTTTCGGCTAAATTTTTATAGTATTGTATGAAAAATAATTAACAATATTAAATTAAGAAGTTCTTTATCGACTATCTTCATTTAAAGGTAGCTGTTAATATATCGTTGATTATTAAGTTTTATCTGATAAAACAATGTTTTTGTTTTGGACGTGTGATCTGATAACATTGATATGTTATTGGACGTGGCAAAGTTGTACAATATTCTGTGTTTTACTTTCAGCACAATCATGAGGAAGCTTAAAGGTGCAGTGAAAGAAACCGCGAGACAAAAGCGAGAGAGAAAGCAGGAGTTTGCTAAAATGCGCCAGCAAATACACACAGTTGTTTTACCGACTTTTGCGGTTATATTTTTGTTAATTTGCGTATACGTGTATCTAAAAACCAGGCCGACATCGATGCAATACGCGTAACATAGCTAGCTAGTAAGGTGTGAAAATTGTACATAGTTATTATAATACCATGAGTTTATAGTGGTTTGGGGAAATTTATTTAAAGTATCTTAAGGTTGTGAGCTCAAGTATATTTTATGTGCTGAGTATTTATTGACACTGTATTTATAAAATATTTAAAGTGTGTTGAAACATTCCGCGTTATTCGTCCACATATCATCATTAATTTTATTTTCTCTATATTATGACAAAATTAATGTAAATATAAGAATAAAGTGATAAAATTATATTACTCTGTTTCATTCACTTATACCACAATTAGACTACTTTTTTCTTGAAATTCAAATACATATTTTAATGGTATTAGACATAATCTCAATATTTATTCACCCCCCTTCTGTATCTGTTCACCCTACAAATTCTATTCACCCCGTTTACGGTTCTCATAACTTTTAAACAGAAAAAAATTAAAACATAGTTTTGATTAATAAAAATATATTTCTTGGTCCTAGGGTACAGCTATAAGATATAGCAATATTATAATGAATAATTTTGCACAATTATTAATCTTGAGAATGAAATAAAAAGCAACCGTTACTGTAATAAATAACTAAATATTAAATACATAATATCTAAGTATTACATTTAAAAAATAAAGTCTTAATTTATCACCAAAAACATGTGACAAGTTTGTTTGATTAAAAACTAAATAATTTATAGATACATATTAAATAAAATTAGAATTTAGAATTTTTCTAGTCTTATTTGTAATTAAATAAATAAATTACGTTTAAAATAATCTATACATAAAATTATTGAAGCGTGATAAAATTTTGTGTGGAAATCGAAATTCCTGTACTTATATAAAACATTTGAGTCAATATAATTTTATTTATCTTTCTGTACACAAAATGTTTTTAAAAACCTTGAGCAAGTTTGCATTCAATAAAACGAGTTTGATTAACAGACAACAGATAATTTCGATATCCAAAAATTTCTATAATGTTTAATCTAAATAAAATTTTGTTCAGTTTAAAGCTACACTTTAAATAAGTACAATAAAACATTTTAGGTTATTCTTCGACCATCTCTCAAAATGGAAGAGGAAGATCCCAACCCTCACTATAGCGCCCCCAAGAGGAAGCCTGTATTCCATAGAGACCGTCATATACAATCTGCATTGAAAAATTGAGAAATAACATATATGTTCAAGCACTGGGACAATTGAGCTGCCCTCAAGAAGGACACCAGAGGGGTGTGCTTCCTCCCGTCCGACCAGTATAATCCATTGGGCCTTGCTTCACGTGGGTGGACAGCCGTACAGCCCAGTGTCGAGACAGGAGTTGATGAAGCACATCAAATCCACATTCACTTCCTTGTCGTGAGAGACTGCGTAAATGCATGGTTCACCGCACTGGCCTATGGGTTCGTAACACCAAGGAAGTATCCAGGCTACAACCTATATAATGAGGTGGCAAATTTAATATATGCGGTACTTCATGATATAAGCGTGTACAAGGACGACGCGTACGATATTGTGAAGAGCTGGCAACCACTTGTGATAGCGACCGTACTAAAGGACCTAGAAGGAAACCCCTCCTTTTACAACTCTCTAAAAGATGTGGAAGAGAAGTTCTCACATTCCTTGTTGATTAGAATAGCCACACGGAGACAGACGGTCTCTATAGGTGTCCACATCGCCCTTGAGCTTAATGGGTTAACAAAATGTTTTGGCCACCCAGAGGTTGTGATGGCTGAAAGCGTTGCCACATGGATAGCCAAAGGATTGGAGGTTGCAGAGGAGTTGGGTGTGCTTTTGTACTTTACTCCAGCAACTAGTATAAAGATGAATTCTTCGACTATTTGCTCTATTTAGCCGAATTCACAGACAAAGAGACATTGATTTCATTTCATGATAGTTTTTATAAAGGTTCAAGTCCATTTGCTATTTTATTTACAAATATTGAATACATACAACAAATGATTATTAAGCAACTTATTTCACAGCCATTTTGAAAACTATTCAATGTGATGTTTCTATTACACAGTTTATTCATCCTACATGCAATTGGAACTTTTTAAAAATAAATAATCTTATTTCCGTTTGACAACTTATCGATCAAACAACTTATAAATAAAACCAACAAGCGTCTATATATTTGTGAAGTGTTATACACTGGTGTATACAGCTGTACATACAGTTTAACTACTGTACACCTTACTTAAGTACCTTTAGCAGTTGATGGTTTTATTTTTTGTGAATTTTAATGATTAATAAATAAAAAAATAAAAAGTGACTATTACAGAACACTGCATACAATAGGGTAGTTGCCAGGGCATGCAAATTAAAAATCTAATTAGTCCGTCAGATAAATAATGAAAAAATATTAGGCACGTATTTTTTTTTCTCGTATAAAGTTACAATCAATAAATAGTATAAAAAACAAAGTCGCTTTCGCTGTATGTCCGTATGTATGCTTAGATCTTTAAAACTACGCAACGGATTTTGATGCGGTTTTTTTAATAGATAGAGTGAATCTTAAGGAAGGTTTGTATGTATAATACATGCATATTGCACCCGTACGAAGCCGGGGCGGGTCGCTAGTACTTAGATAAAATTAAGTTAAGTTTAGGAGTCACACGATATTTGAAATTAATATATCGTCAAACGTATTTAAATTTTTGAGAAAAAAAAATATAATGTGTAATGTTTTAAAAATTAAAATAAAATTTACCATACCAGGCGGACATTAAAATAAAATTTAGGAAACTACCCTATTCCAGATTATTCAATCTGTGGAACTATCTCATGGTATTGCGTTAATTAACAAGAAAGGTAGTAAAACTTTCAACAATAATTAAAGTTCTGTGACATTGGAATGGGTAGAAGATGCATAAGGAGAAGGAGGTTATGAATCTTCTACTTACAAGGTACAGGTACCAAGGCACTAAGTTTGAACAAGTGGCAACTACACATTTTCTTATATGTAATAGATTAAAAACGACATACCATTACCCCTGTTGACAGATCACCGGGTAAGTAGCTCATCAGGCAGGTAATTAAAAAACCACAGACCTCGTAGCTGACAATGAAGGAAATTTAAAATTCTAGTCTATAAAAAAAAATCTGTCAAACATTTACGCGGGAAACCAGCCTAAGACCATGGAGTATAGAGGATAGGAGTAGGTACTTCCATATCTGAAAAATATGTTATATCAGAAGAGGCTCCCTAGTAGCAGGAGTAAAATGTTATTATAAATTTTTGATCTTTTATGTTCTTTACTCAAATTCACATAACATTGTTAAAATTAAAATATAATATGACAGTTAAGTGCGTAAATCCCAACAAGTACTTGACCATTCAAGAAGTAGCTAGTCATTTCATAATCAAATATCATCCTTTTGCATATAATATTATTGTATCGCCATTAGGCATTATTGTGCATTTTTTGCAATTTTTGCAATATTTTCATAAAGTAATTATTCTCTTTATTTCTACACTCTCTTCTCTTCTTCTACTCTGTATACTCCATAGCCCAGAGCTTCGTAAGAACATGCAACACCGAAAGAGGTAGTAATGTCACGTCTAAAATTAGTTTTCTTTCACTTCTATGTACACCTAATTACTACAAAACCACAGGATATGTTTAAGTTAAAAAAGGTTATATTACTTCTCGTTATGCTTCATAACTAGACAGCCTTTATAAATAAAGTTAATGTAAATAAATCCTTACAATATGATTATATTGCGTATCAATACTGGTTGTCGACGTTAATACTTCGTTTCTGGCGGCACGTGGTGATCATCCAGCCGAGGAGCCATATAGAAGCTAGTAGGAGGTACAGGCCACTGATAGCGAAGTACTGGGAAGCTATCGGTAGCTTCAGGCTTTGGATGAGGACCAGAGTTAGTATGGACTGTAATCCTGTACCAATGAGGGTGTTGATACCGAATATGAGACCGAAGCAGCTCTCATCGCTGAGCTGACCCGCGATTTTTGCACTAGAATGGAAAAAAATATTAATTATTATTCACGAAAAATTGTGCATGTTTAGGGTAAGAAGTGCTATGCTTCCTCAACATCTATATATAGCTCGATCATGTTACATTAATCTGGGTACTATTTATTTACTGCTAGCTGTTGCCCGCCACTTCGTCAGCTTAGAATATGATTCCTGTTTCAGCCCATACCCTGCCTGTATACCAAAATTTAATTCAAATCCGTTCGTTCGGAAAAACATCTAAACAAAGAAACTTTCACATTTGTAATTATTTAATGTAATATCCGTCCGGGGTCAAAACAGAGATCTTGTGCTAAAAATTCGATTCGACCTTTATAGCTACATTATTTAGACCACCTTTTCAAGTTAGCTTATTAGGTACTTAGAACATAAAATATTATAGTTACCTGGCCAAAGTGATAGTATAATGGAATAACATGCCCATCACGATATACCCAGCGTAGGACACGAACACGTTGTTGACGAAGGTTGCTAGGAAGACTGCGACTCCTTGCACGGCCGCCACGGGTGCTGGTACTCCGGACGATGAGTACATTGATGCTATGAACGCACCTCCAGCGCCCAGGAGCGTTTGTACAGCTTCCACTGCGCCGTTGTAGGCCACCTGGTAGTAAGATAGTCAGTTTAGACAACTATTTTGTTAAAACTGCTTTATTTTTTTTATTTATTTATCTTAATATCACAAAGGTAAGTATTTTATAATCTAAGCCTCACAAAACCGTTGCAATAGTTTGACTGTGGGCTCGAATATTGGGTACGGGTGGTTGAAGGGTAACAGGTAAACATGAATAGAATGTGAGTTCCTTAAGTGTGTGTCTTAAAATTCCTATGAAATGGAATAAAACTGGACTTTTAATCTATATTTTTAATTCGATTTTAGCCTCCCTATCAACATCCCTATTACATTGCCAGAAAAAAAAAACAATTCCTAATTATTTAACCAGCCAATTTGTATGACCCTATGTTTATAGAAGAGAAGAATAGAAGGGACCAGGAAACTCGAAAATAGTAAAGTTGTTTAATATATTATGCATAGTTATAGCAATATTGTAATAGTTGCAATTTGACTGCACGGTTGGTGCAGTGTTTGGGCAACTGGCTGCCGTGCAACTGGTAGCGGATGCGAGTCCCGTACGGAGCAACTCTTTGTATGATCCACAAATTGTTGTTTCGGGTATGGGTGTCATGTGTATGTAAAATTTTATGTTTGTAAAAGCTCCCACGACACAGGAGTAAATCCTAGTGTGGGGCAACGTTTATCATAAATATTTTTTTATCAAATAATACAAAGTCTATAACAGGGTCCAAAGGTCGAAAACATCTCACACTCAAAACCAGACCGACATTACTCACTCACTCACTCATATCTAGAATTTTGAAATTTGCACTAACATAACATACCTACTCGAGATTATCTGAGATAAAGATAAATATAGTCGAGTAAATTAGTTAAAGTACATAAACTTAAACTGTCATAATATGGAGACAAGAGATAGACAAACAACGTAAATAGCACTAACACAAAGCCATATTAATGTTAATCCTTCGTAATGCCATTGTACAATTCAACACCTACTTTTCACTATTTATGTATTGTTATTTAGTACTAGTCCCATGTAATAGGGGGTGAGCGTATTGCCACATACCGGGCACATTTCCAGACTCCGTGCTACCACTGAGATTTTTTTTTAAAAACCCAGTAATACTTTGCCTACCCTTTAATCAAACTCGAGACCCCTAGCCCGGTAGTCGCACTTGTGACCACTCGGCCATCGAGTTTAAATAAGCTTTTCTTATTAATGTGAGGTAAATAATCTATCTGTTTAGAAAATTTTATTTTAACCCGTTGAGTGGTTTTCGCTATGTGCTATCTAGTCCTCCATCATAGATGTTCAACATTTCAAATTCATAATATTTAAGATGCTGTTAGAACTGACCAGTAGTAAATACAATTAGAATACTCTGTTTTAGTCATATTAACGACTAACAACAAACGATCCGTTTAAAGATCTAGATACTAGAGAATTGTGTTGGTAAACTGATAAGCTCCATAATAATTCAATACTTTTTTCGAACTGTCAAAAACGACAGTTTTCTATGAATTTTGTACGAGATTGTGTATTTGATGTAATTGTGTTCTTATTTCTTAAAAATTCGCTGGAAATATATTAAAATTTTGTTTGTCAAAAAATCAATTAATGAAAGTGTGATTATTTTTCTATATTTTATTGTATTGAACAGTCGAAATAATTTATTTTTGATCCTGGAAAGTAATGAAGTGTGTATATCACTTGGTTATTGAGAATGGCCGAAAAAAAACCAACATTCATACAGTCAATACGTTTAATTTTCGCGCCAACCTTGATTACAGTTGCCGTCAATACAATGAGACATCGTTACTCAGACACCGTTTCTCTCCTTATCAAAATAACTTGATTCGATTTCATAAAATGCACTTAAAACAAGGACGTTAATAACGCAAGCTTATGTCACAAGATATTTGAGATTAGATAGAACATAGTGATTGTTTATAATTACGCTTATTATCATATTGTTTATACCTACTCGCTTGATAAGCTTGTTCAACTAGTCATGTCCCAAATAATTTCACGATAAGAGGTGTGGCGGATGTGCGCACTAGTTGGGAAAGGGCGGAGAGGATAGTTACATTGTAAGGATAATAATAATAGTTTTAGGTAACATATGTGGAAAATGGATCATAAAAATAATAATAAGTAATGTAACCCCATGAGAGCTGAGAAAGATAAGCAAATAAAATATCTAGACTTAGCTCACGAGGCTGTCGACATGTGAAGTGTGGATTCGACTATCATCGTGTCGATAGTCGTTTCGGCCAATGGGTTAATCCCCTAAAAGCATCGATATTCATATTAAGGACGCTGGCGATAGGCGGATGGGTCTATGGCTTGCTACAGAAGGCAGTTTTCCTTGAAACCGCGCGCATCGTGAGGAGATTTCTTTCCCTGGAGCCGTAAGCACCGGTAGCTTGGACAATACTCTCGCTACTGGTTGGTTCAAAAGTGTCTTCCTGGTTAATTGACATAAACGATTTTCAAAAAAAGCACCCGGAAAATTTAATTTTTGATTAAGTACTCATATTCATGAGCATGCGCAGCGGGAGCTTGTGAATATGAGGCCCTGTGTGGCTTGAAATAAAAATATATGAATGTGATGAAAGTTAAATAAGTCTATCGATAATGATGAGTATAGTGGGTAGCTCTATTTTCTATCATGCTAAAGAAAGGTGTGAGTTCAATATCATATCAATGAGAATCAAGTCAATTAGGGAATTAATGTCATAATTGCTACTTGGCAATAAGCTTGCGCCATTATCGATGCAGGAAATTTAATGACGTAGGTAGATAGTTACTAATGATAAATGATAATAGCTTTCTTCTTTTGTGTAAGATATGACCAAAAAAAATTTTTTATTTCAATTTTGCTAACTGTTCGAAACGACATCGAAGGGATCTTTATGAAATAGACACAAAAACACATCTGGAATAAAACATAGTATTTATACGTACATTTCGGTGCGATATGAATAACACGCAGGTCGAAACAGTCAATAGAAGCTAGGAATTTTCTTCATATAAATATCATGTCTTTTGGGGGTAGGTAGAATCTACAAAGAGCCAGTTGCTAGTATTTCGTATATCCTATTCATGCATTTGATAATACAAATCAGTTAAGAATAATATGTAACTTGGCTTATTTTGTCTCATCTCACTTACCATAACAAAAACTTGTAATTGTAACTCACCGGTGAATCAGTGTCCTCTTGTATCTGTTTCCATAGCAACTGCATATAGATCTGAGCTTGGACGAACAGTGCGAGTGCAACCGCATACAATGCCGACCACGCCAGCACTTTGGGTCTGGTGTACGCTGAGCGCGCGTGTCGAGCGATCAAAGTCGATGCTTCTACCACGTTGGAACGGAGTAGGTGCTGGAATTAAAAGAAATATCATGTTTTAGATATCATTTTGAGATAATTATATGAATAGAAAGTTTTTTTTTGTATGATTGCGTATAAATGTAGACCTGGAACAACTATCTGTAGATAGATTATACTAAGATTTGCCCCCGGCAAGTATTAGTTACTGCTCCAACGTGTACTTTGAACTTGAAAGACTTAGAAACTGAATCAGATGTTATACAAAAATTAAACGCATTGCCTGAATAAGGATTTTCAGACTTAATCATTATTTGTCAGCATTAATCCTATGAATAAATAAAAAAGAACATAACATAACATTACGCCTTTTATCCCCGAATGGGTACGCAGAGGTTCACATTACGACACTTAATGCTACTGTACAATGTGATACCCACTTTTCATTATCTATATTATGAGTCCCATGTAATAGTAGTAGTCCCATGTTAGCCTATTATGTAATGTAGATTATACGATCGCAATTAGGAAGAGAAACTGTTTTACGTAAGTTCTACACATCTAAATGTAAATAGACTTACATAATATGTTAGTGGACCTAAAGATCTTGTTTTGTTGAACAATAAAGCAAGTACCTACATAATTACATTTTACTCACCCCATTAGGTGGATGTAGATCTTTGTCTAGCGGCGGGTTTCCGGTGGATGTCTTCCGATGGAAGTAGATGCCATACTGGACGGTGGGTAGCCACAGCGCCCAGAATGTCGCCATGATCTGAGCTAAGACATTACAGTGTTACATTCACTATAGATGGTAGAAAGATGCTGTAAACACTTTTTTGCTGGTTAAAAATATAAATCCCATTGCAATAGAAAATCTCACTTGCTAAATAAGTTCTGCTTGAGATGATCTGTATGGAAGTTGGAAATTGAAAATCTGAATTGCCCTGCCCATCTGATGTTTGAACTTGGAGATTTGGTACTTAGAAGTGGTTACAAGATATTGGAGTGGATCAACAATTCATTAGTTGACTTTACTAAAGTTGTTCAGTCATTGATATCCAAGTTTGAATGAAGATAGTATTCTGTACATCACTACATAGTATAAAACAAAGCCACCATCCGCTGTCCCTATGTATGCTTAGATCTTTAAAACTACGCAACGGATTTGGATGCGGTTTTTTTAATAGATAGAGTTATTTTTAAGGAAGGTTTATATGTATAATATATGCATATTCCACCCGTGCGAAGCCGCGGCGGGTCGCTAGTAGACGATAATATGACTAATCTATTACCGTTTTTACTACTAAGTACACAAGGACCAAATTAGCATGTAAAAACGTCAAAGGAAAGCGTTATACCTGTGAAGGTGATGTAATTGAGATCCCTATAGTCCATGACTCCGAAGTGTGTGAGCAGTTGTGAGCTGACGCCAGACAGGAACCGGCCTGACAGTGCTGCAATACGGGTGTATGAGGATACGCGAGGGTACTTCGCTGGGTCCACCTTGAATGTAAATTGATAACATAACATAATAAAACATCACGCCTTTTATCCCCGAAGAGGCAGAGGTGCACATAATGCCACTGTACAATGTAACACCTACTTTTCACTATTTATGTTATGAGTCTCATGTCATAGGGGGTGAGCCTATTGCCATATGCCGACCGAGCACAATTCCTCATGTAGGTATTATGTAAATTGAGGAGTGTAAATAATAAACTTATCGTATATTTACTTACTACAATGACGTATTGTAATAGGCTGATGTCTAAGCAGTACACATCCTTACTTCATGCAGAAAAAAATGCATACAATTATTTTCGCAAAATGCAGACATTATTGGGTTTTCCATTTTTAGAATGTCTGTTTAATATGTGTACGACAGGGTCTTGCAAAATCATGGCAATAGTCTTGTCTTACGGGATAGCATTCGCTGCAGCATATCAGACAATAAGTGCACTAATTTAGTTCTACGACAGAAAAGTGTACCTAGTTATTGGGTAATATACTTCTCCAGTTGTATAACTGAAGTCCTATGTAACGTCTATACATGAGACATGTCATATTTATCTTGTTTAGTGTAGGGAATTTCCAAATAAAACGTTTCTTGCCCGCCAGACTAGCGAGAGAGATAGTCATAACGTAGGTACACATTGTAAATACTTAAAGGATAATTATGCATAATTAAGCGATACGTTTCGTGCCGTCTCCGGTATTAAGAAATTTGATAAAGATAAGAATTAAGATTGTTGGTCTGATTAGTTAATTTTTGTTGAAAATAAGATTGCGTCACGTCGCGTTTTACGTTTCCGGAGGAGACACACTTGTGACCAATGATCATTATTGATTAGCTAGTCGATGATTAAAAACTTTTGTTCTTTTAAATAAACAGATGGCTGCGATTGGTAGAAGTATCCTATTTAATTATCATTCAATCTAGCAACATTACTGGTTAAAGAAAGCTGAAGTTAGGCAAGTAGATCTCTTCGAAACTGTAGGGTAGTGTATTGTAACTTTCGTGAGACATAATAAATAAATTATTACCTATGTTTTCGGCTTACTCACGTATTAACTTGACGAGGAACTCGACTAGTTTCAAGCCATGCTAGAGGGTCATATTCATGAGCAGCATTTCGCGACCCGCGACGCGGCGACTGTCGCGCTGCTACTTGAATATGAGCTTATTACGTGAGTAAGCCGAAAACATAATAATTTATGTATGGTAGTGTTTTGAGGGATTTTTTAAAATCTACACGGTGTGAATGGAACATTATAGGATACGAAAAATTATTGAATCGACATTTTTAAAATAAGTAACTAGAATATTGGACGAAGTATATTTATTTCCGTCTATCAACTCTCATCTAACAGTGGTTATTCCAGTTTAAGACAGTTGCATAGCACTAGTTATATATTCTAAAGCAAATGTCAGTGCAGGTGGACATTTATGGCACGCCTTCAGAGAGCGCAGTCACAGTTTTAGAATACTACCGATAGACGACATCAGAAGTAATCACATGTTCTGTCTTTCGGCCTAACGGGTACCCACATGGTATCATTGTAAGGGGTTGAAGTACAATCAGAAAATCGAAACTACATTAATATTTTGTCCAAACTGAAAACCCCCGTAAATTCAAGTCTTCGCTCTTCAATGCCATTTCTCGTCAGTCGCACTAGCGACCACCATCTTAGGAAAGCATTTGTTTTTTTTCTTTGAGCCGGTGACGTACATCACTGCGTCTGAATCTCTATAAATAGCTTACCTTTGCGTAGATATAAGTGTAGTAGGCGACTTCCGTGGCCATGTAGAGACCATAGAAGAACTGGGACGCTTGCAGCCATTCTAGACTCGTTGTCCATAGCAAGATGGCGTATACTGCTATACCACTCAGACCTGTAAGAAGTAAAATAGGCTGATGATGTTTTAGCCTATAGAAGAAGACTGGTTACAGAGTGTGCTTGTGTAAATGGGGAAATGGAAGGGATTTTTTTATGGCATAAGCCGGTAAACGACCAGACGGGTCACCTGATGGTAAGCAATTGGCGTCGCCCATGGACAACTGGAACACCAAAGGCGTTACAAGTGCGTTACCAGCATTTTGGGGATTAAGAGTTTGAGGATCGTTGGGGATTCAGGGATTGGGGAGATTGGGGATGGATGGAAGCAATAATTTGTTTCATAAACATGTCTGTTTATTCTGGAAAGCATTGGCAGATGAGTATTTAAAGTATGTCCTCTTTCTTTGTTTCATTGTAACTCTCATTTGCAATACAGAAGGAAAGTATTGACAAACAAACTTCATTTGAAACTTCGTGGTTTAGGTGAGGTTGAGGGAGGATATAGACGATCGCAAATGACTGTATCAATTTGTCCTTAAGCTATTAATTCAAGGTTTTTCGTTATTAATCTTAATTATATTAGAACAAAATAAGTACATAACTAATGTAGTTAATAAAATGGAATGTTGATCTTATCACTTTTTGGCGACCAGTGATCACCTCACCTACAGACAACCTTTGGATGTACCTCTTAGAAATAAATAAAACATGGAAAGAATAGATCGTGTAGGTAGAGGAATGTACCTTCTCCTTAAAAGGTACTATGTATTTTAGTTTCTATAAATAAGTAGGTTATTACTTTTTCAGGGTCAAAGTCAAATAAAGAAGCGTTTTATTCATAAGAATCAAAGATTCTGTTCTAGTGATACATCGATCGGAGACCCGGTATGGACACGTGCTACAACTTGCACATTGATAAATTAAAGTATATTAACCGACTATTCTGATCAATTAGATTGGTTGCTGTGTCTTGATTTTTTATGAATAAATTGTCCACAATTATCAAAGAGATCTCATGTCTTTCGTCTAGACATTTTATATCATTATTGTTGTTTCAGCTTATAGATAAATCTACCTAGGTATCACCAAATCCACATGCAGTAATGATAACTTTTTTATTGAGTAATTAAGATAAAGCAAAGGAAACCTGTTTTGTTTTCGGATGTAGGTAAGATAGATTAAGTGAACCTGACACTGTAAATCGCATTTTAATTACTGACGTAGATTGCGTACAAATAGGTAGTTGTTATCTCATAGTAGTTTTGACTTAACTTTTACATAATAGTGGCGAGTTTGAGGATAAAAATGAGAATATTTTTTGAGCCCATGGCGATCACATTGACTAAGAATTTATTAGCACATTTCGGTTGGTACATCGACGTATTTTTGTGATAGATGTGTGTAGTATTCCAACCTCGAAAACATTCACATCTTTTAACTAATGTTTACTACACGAATATTTATAGATTTCAAACAGTTGCAGACTTGCAACAGTTGTATTAGCTGTAAAAGTGTGTAGGTTGCATAAAATATTTTTTCGTTGCGTTTTTTGGCACCTTTTGTATAACGCGTCGAACTGGGTGCTCCTTAAACACGTGCTTCAGTCTCATGATATTAAACACTGTATAGTAAATCATAATACTTAATAGTTATTATTTATAGGTGTCTCATTCGTAGGTACAATCCACTTGCATTTTAATGGTGATGACGTCGCTTTATTCCATCGTTTTTCTTTACCTATGATAAGATAAGAACCTTATTTCATTAAGTCGCGCAAGCATCTAATTGAGTAAGTTATTTAGAAGGTATATCTCATCTGTTGTTAGTTTAGATGCGCCACCAACTAAACCAACATGGTTGTTCATGCCAGTGTTTTGGTGTCTCTCTATAAACTCCCTGGGATGTTTGACTGCACGGGTCGTACGACCATACTGTTCTAATGAAATATAGCCCTTAGTGCAATAATGTTTTATTAGCTACTGAATGTCAGGTCAATGTCTCAGGCCGTAATTTATGAGAGAGCTCGCAAAGACAACTGCTGATAGAGTATCGATAAAAGGCCATGTTTATTAAATTAAATGCATTATAAATTATCAGAATGAAAACTTTTGATTTAGTGCTTTTCACACATCAAGTAGGTATCAGTACGATGAATTGTTTACAAAATACACCTAATTTTAGAGATCGATATTTGTGTACGGTCAAGGGAAGGGCAACTGATAGCGAGTTAAGATAGGTCGTGTTTTGACTCCATTAACATATTATGTCACTTGGCAGTTATTGAAATTTATAATTAGCATAAACGCTTTTTTTCCCCCAAGGGGTAGGCAGAGGTGTACATAATACGTAGTACGTTGTTACTGTTGAGAATTTTCGAAAATCCAAAACTAGGCAACACTTTTTCTACCCAGGCTTCGAGCATGAGACTGACTGCCACACTTGCGATCCCTCGACCAGTGAGGCTGCCATTTAAAAACCGCAATAAGAGATTATGATAGTAATATCATAATCCTAATACAACTGTACTAAGTGTTCTGTCGATGAAGTAAGTACCTACCAAGTGTAAAGGTATTGTTTGTGATTGGATTTTCCGAATTCTCAGTAACGCCATTAATTGACGGAAACTATGTTTGGAAAAACACACGCCCCTTACAAAGAGACTAATTATTAATTGACGTGCTTGTACCAGGTGCAAGAATTTTATGGAAGTTAAAGAACATAACATAACATAACATCACGCCTTTTTATCCCCGAAGGGGTAGGCAGAGGTGCACATTACGGCACTTAATGCCCCTGTACAATGTAACACCCACTTTTCACTATTTATGTTATGAGACCCATGTAATAGGGGGTGAGCCTATTGCCATATACCGGGCACAATTACAGAATTTTAACAAAGTATTACTGGGATTTTTGAAAAATCCCAGTAATACTTTGCCCGACCCGGGAATCGAACCCGAGACCCCATGCCCGGCAGTCGCACTTAAGAAAACTCGGCCAACGAGGCAGTCTTTAGAAGTTAAAGAATGGCTAAAGAATCGTTGTTTGTGCGTATTGTCAAGGGTTAAATAAAGGTGTTACTTTATGTTTAGAATGTCAAAAAATGATGATTCATTTGTAAATTAACATCTGTCTATCGTTTCGAAAAATTTATTAAAATACCTAAGTACTATTACATATTATATGAAACATATTATATACAGATGTTCCAGTACAAAATTGATAATTTTTGCAAAAAGTTTCAATTGGTCTTGGCTACAACAGGTCAATAAAGATATAGTATATTATAACAACCATGGAGTTGTGTAATCAGTTAAAGACTGATAACTTTGATCCCTCTTGCATTCGATAATTATCTTGTATCATAGAGTCAATATTGAACTAACTCAAACATACACATTTCAAGCAAATCTCTTTAATCTTGCTTTTATTTTCTACACTTTTTTATTTGCTTCTGGATAAAGAAATATGTGCAAATGTTTGGCTTATGTTTTCCATTCTTTTCTCTGTTCTGGTGTCTTTGTTTTTTTTTTATTTATTGTCTGTCTTGGTGCTGCGTGGTCTATTTGTGATGCAGTGTAAAATAGTATAAAATAAGACTGCACGGTTGGTGCGGTGGCTGAGCAACCGTCTGCCGTGCAACGTGTCGCGGGTTCGATTCCCGCATGGAACAGCACTTTGTGTATTCCACAAATTGTTGTTTCGGGTCTGGGTGTCATGTGTATGTGAACTTGTATGTTTGTAAACGCACCCGCGACACAGGAGATAATCCTAGTGTGTGGGGCAACATTTTTTTTTAAAAAAGTACTTAATGACTTTAATTCATCTGTTTGTGGAATTTAAAAAGAATATTTAGAAATACAAAAAAAGTAAAAAAGATGTCAAACTGGTACGTGGTAAGAAAAGTTAAAAAGTAGCACAGATAGTTTTTACCGCGTAAGCGACCTGGTTACTGCCGCTTAAATATGTCAAACAACACTTCTATGTATGCGATGAAGCAAAACTCAGGAAAAAATACTGTTTTTCCTACTAAGCTATTGCATTAATTTCTGTAGATAAACAAATTTTTTTCTTGCTATACTTGTACATAATTCGGTTAATACTTCCTCGTTGATGATAGTGCATACACTTAGTTATAAAATCCTTACACACAATTGGTCAAATGGGATATTTTTTTTAAATAATATTATTATATATGTTACTTAAATGGTCAGCTTATAACATAATTTTAATAATTTATCTGATTAGTAAAAGTCATATTATTTTGTATCTTGAATCTGTAGAGTTTACCTAATGTTTATTATGAAGTACCTACTCATAAAAATGAATAATTAACCAGAAATTATTGATGTCAAGCTTTTAAAATTGACTATAAATTATTGAGTTTTAATGCAAGTAGCATTAAATTCATATAATATAAGATTACATGGTTAAATCATGAATGACTTAACTGTACACAATTATTATGGATTCCACTCATTTTGATAACGATTCTTTCATAAATTGCATTGATTACAATTATTATTCTTAAGTACCTACACTGTTCAGTTCTTTAGTAGATATTTTAATTTTTAATTTCATACACTGTCTGCTATCTACTTGTGTATCTAGTTATCTAATGTAATTAAGGACAGCAACTTCTTACACTGGTTTAAAATGTTATCAAAACTATGATTTATAAGTTTGACTCGCTTTAGGTAACTTTGTCTAAGTAAAAAATAGCTGTTAATGTAGGTCATTGACACCTAAACAAACTCATGCAATGCACAATGTAAGTAAAACAGTCAAAAGGTAAACTTACCAGACAATACAATGACTGGCTTAAATCTCAAGAAATCGGTGATGAGGAAGACCACAACAAGCAGGCCCAGGTAGCAGTATGTCCCCACAGGGTATACATCTCTGTTCAGTTGTTCTTCAGTTATGTTTCTCCACTCTCCCAATAGGAACTCGGAAACGAAGGGCTCTGACGGTCGAATCTCTCGAAGCAGGCCGACAGCACATAACATAAGAGTAACTTGAACCCACGGCAACATCTTATGACACAAATTTATGTAATAATTGTGGGAAAATGTGCTCGCGTAAGTTTGCCCTTGACCGCCGTGAGCGACCGTGCAGTGTGTTCACGTGCCGCGTAGAGACTGATGAGGCGGCGCCGCGCTCGCCTCGCTCTCGCTCCCTGCATTTCTCAATGACGGTCGTTCTAACATCAGCCTTTCGCGCCAAATCTACGTTTAGCCGAAACTCACTCTTTCTGTTTAAACTTCTGTGCAAATATTGTACGTTACAGTATCCTTCAGTCTGATGTTACATAAGATTATATTTGTTTAATGTTTTTTCTGTTACGTGTTTTTGAATGAACTTCAAAATTCGTTGTAAGATTCAACGATTTTTTGTTACATTCGTTTTATTTTGGGACAATCACATGACGGCAAGAAAAGTTGAGGTAGCAATGCAGCTGGTTATAGGTTATGTCACGATCACAACAACGCAAACGTCACAACACCGTCATGAATGTCAATTAGCGTTTCGTTTAACGTCATCATTACTCGAAACGTCATGGAATTATTGAAAACGTAACTCAATTACAATGTACTTTCTTATAGTAAAGATAATAAGGGAACATAGTATTCTATTGGATAATTTCCACAATAAAAGCTATAAAATCTAATGTACTTTAGGGTTCGACCTAGTTTTATTTCCGAACGAAGATTATCAGCTGATTACAGCACTTGACATTTCGCAGCGCTAGCCTAAAAATGAAATGTGACACATTGCTGTCATTAGTGAGTGTTTTGATTTCGCACTGTATTTCTTATTACTTTTTTTGCTAATTTTTTCCTAGACACCTATTTGATTAAAAGCTTAGTTAAATTTCTGTGCACGTATCGTTTTTAGAAAACTCCGTAGAGAATCTATAACGCAGCAACTCGCTGTAAATGAGTGCTTTTAGCACTATCGTCGTAATTCCGTCAAGTGGATTTTGATTTTATAATGCCTGATAAGACAATAATATTGAAATGTCGGCACTGTTCGAAGAGCTTCAAATACGACAGCGAGAGGAGAAGGCACGAGCAAAGCCATAGTCCTCAATTCCAGTGCAAAATCTGCAGTAAAAACTTTAGTTTTATGTAAGTATGAACACATTTTGTTCAGTTTGGGTAACAACTTGTATTAAATCAATACATTTATCGGTGTGTTATCTATAACTTTTATGAGTCATTATATTATCTTGTACTGACTTGCAAGTTAATATCTGTTGAGTCCACGTAATCCAAAATAGGCTATACTAATACTAGGAGTAAAGTTCATTAATACATAGTATCTAAACAAATACCTATTTAAGGAAAACTTATGTAAAAATAGGTGATTGCATCATACACATTATACATGACATAAAAGTTGTTATTTATTATTGAATATAAAAGTTGTGTTTGTATTGTTCTGATGTACTGTAAAATATTTATAATGTCTCAATTGTAGATCTGCTCTCCGTCGCCATGAGAAACAGCACGAGAGGACTGGCACTGTACAGTGTACGGAGTGCAGCAGAGAGTTCAGAGACAATATACTTCTTAAAAGGCATATCAAGTATGCTCATGGAGGTAATTTATTTGTATTACTCTGATTGTTATAATTTTATTTTGTACTGCGACTGACAAGAAAGAAATCCTGATGATTATATTCCGAACCGAGGAGGTCGGAGTAGCTTTTGAGCATGTTAAGGTATTAAAAATTATTTCATATATTTTAATCTCTAAAGAGCTACCTTCTACAAAAATGCATAATATACTGTGACACCCACTTTTTTATCTACAATGTTAGAGAAGACTAACATAGTAGGTAAAAAGTGGGTGGATAACATAGAAACATTATCCCATGGAAAAGGGGCTCCAATAATAATTACAAACATCTACAATAATAATAATAAATTACTAACTTGATTTAAAATATTTCCATTAATTATTCCAGGGACATATACATGTGCGAAGTGTTCAGCGGTGTTCAGCAGTGAACCAGCTCTTAAGACACACATGAAGACCCACAAGTCGCAGTCAGAGAGACGGTACCAGTGCAGCTTTACTGGATGCACTAAAAAATTCAACTTTGCACACCACCTGAAGCATCATGAGATGACACACACAAACACTAAACAGCATTTTTGTAAAATTTGTAATAAGGGTAAGTGTATTTTATTTATTTCTTTTTAGCTTTCCTCTTGCAACTTCATCAGCATTATAAGATATAAATTTTATTACTCAAAAACTCCCAATAATTGCGTAAAAACTTTTCAGCAGTTTCTTTCTGACTTTATTGTAGCCGAGTGACCAGCAATGTATCTATAGATTTTTATTAAACTGTCAAACCCCAAGCGGTCACCGGTGACCGCAACCTATTGTTCTATAATTGTATCTACAAAACCGGTACTCGACGAGTTAATCCTCGTTAGTCCAGTGTCTGTACATAACTACTGAGCAGGATCTAGATTCTCCGGGTTGAACAAATTACTATTCGGTTTTTTAACGTGGAAATATTACATAAATTGAACTCTTAATTGTAGCTCTCAATTGCGTTGTTGGAGTTTATGATGTTATCAATGTTATATAATTTCAATATTTCAGGTTTCATACAATCCCATCATTTGAAGACACACATGAAGACTCACACCGCTGACTCCTCACTGCACTGCTCCTTCGATAATTGTGGGAAGAAATTCTCCACAGAATACGCTAAGAAGAGACATTTGGCTAAATATCGTAAGTAAACATAGTATAATTATTTTCTGACTACATAAATAAAACATAGACTCTAATACATTGAAGGCCAACTTCAGTTCTTCGTTTCCCGCTGGCTGACAATAGCTACTGCCTAATACTTGGGCATCTTGAAGAGGCTCATGTCTAGCAGTGTTTGTTTGCACATAACATAATGAACAAACTCACGCGTTTCTACCAGTATTGTAGTAAGAAACTATAAAGCGCTGACTACATCTGATCATACAAGTACCTACCTACGTTATTTAAGCGTACCGCACTCCTGTTTTTATTTGAGAATCTATTGGATGATGTCATCGTTTTAATAAAAAATCACTCTAATTGGTTGCTTTATTGATCTTGTGATCACGCGAGCGGCTGTTGTTACAAGCTTCCTATATTGCGAAATCTCATGTAATATAACATCAGGCATTTTATTCCCTGAAAGGGTAGGCAGAGCTGCACATTGCACATATTAAATGTAACACCCATTTTGCACCAGTCACGTTATGAGATGACGTCATGTAACCTTAATTTATTGCTATAAATCGGGCACAACTCTAACCTAATCTTCGTGCTACTATGAGAATTTTCAAATATTAAAAATAATTCAATCGTACTTTGCTCAACGTAGGAGTCGAACCCGACACGCTTTATTCGGCAGTTGCACTTGCGATTGCGACCACTCAACCTCACCAGTCACCACCAATGAGGCGAAAGCTTTTTCTTTTAAATCTGCGATTTGCGATTGTTTTTTAGTTGCGGAGTTGAATTTTTATCGTTTAGCGATTGACACAGTTGTAAATATATCCCTAAGAATTAATATCTGTTGTTTTAGATTTCAAACAAGACAGCGGGATATCATCGGATTCAAACTCGGCCTGTGATTTCTCATGTATGGCAAAGTTGAAAAACGAGAATGGTAAGTGCATAATATTTTTTTTTATTTTAGGTTTAAAAAAGAGTTCTAATAAAGCATTACTTTTTTAATCTAGCCTCTCAGTTTTTATTTCTCGGGTAATATCGTGGCTATTTCAAACACCTTTGAAGCACTTAATAAGTAAGTGTCCTGTGTCCATAACAACACATAAAGGGATTTTCTATATCGAATTTCAGATTCCACAACATGTCCATCTTGTGGCCAACTTATAGCTACGGCTCAGTATGAAGAACACACATTCAATTGTATACAAAACGTAAAAGATGAAGTAACTAAAGAAGTACCAGCCAATATTTTTGATAACAGTGTTGACAATAATTATTTAGATACAACAACTGACAATGACTACGTAGCTCATTGCAAACTAATGATAGGGGGATGTATTATGAAGGAGAAAGGCGAGAAATGTGTTTGTGCACAAATAACTAAGACTATTGACGAAGAATGCGATTTTACACCAATAGACAATGAACCTCTAGATATGAGTAAGACAGAGGTCGTTACAAATAATATTAAAAGTACGAATGCAAATAACAATTCGTGTGAGGGCTGTGAATGTTCCCAACGATGTGGCGTCAATATGAACGCCGCAAGCAACTATCAGGATGATACTGCAGTTGTAGAGTACAAAGCTGATGGTACAGTGAAACTAAAAGACATATTTGAAATGGACATTCCTTCCATGAACATAGCTAAAGATGTTAAGCCAGGGAAAGCTAAAGACAACGGAGTTAATGCTTACGTTTACAATAGTTGTAAGGAGGTACTGGGTAACTGTATTGTTAGTGGCAATGGAATGATGGGCGACGGGTGTCTGTGTGCGAGGATGTTACTCGACGACCAAGTAACCGCACAAGAAATAGAGGACATCACGCCCCGACCAAACAATGAACTATTCTGTGATTGAAACAAACTTGTTACTTAAATATTGTTGTTTATCTAAGAGTTATATTGTTTGTTGGTACTTAATAAAGTCTCGATATTTTACTCATATGTTGTATTATTACAGCAACGTGTTGTTGGAAAGGTAATTAACAGTCAAATATAATTATTATTAACTTTATATTTATTTACAACATAATTCAATTATTTTACAAATCAACCATTTATACAAAATATTTATCTTAGTTAACAATTACTAAATTAATTATTATTTTACAATCAGACCTCACTTCTGTGTAATATCACTACGTTAATAAGTACGAACGGAATGTATAGTTTATCTGCGAGTTATCACATACGGCATGGCAGACAATCACAAGAAAATAACAAACGCCGTCTAACGGTTACACCACATTGTTTCCAACTTATTATAGCGTCCGATTCAAGAATCATTTAAAATAAAATAATATACATTTAGCTATGGTAACAATTACAAGATAGGACTGTCAGGTAATCCTCCAGATCGAGGGCGTAATATTACAGGACCTAAGGTTTTCGTGTACCTTCAGAGCGTGCATCGCGTAAAATACTTAAAGTACATACGTTTTTACCAGATATTTATACATTTTACGCTATCTGCTTATTTTTTATAGACAAAGCAATAAATAAATCTAAATCTTTCTTTCAAGACGATGACTCTTCCTAGTTTGACTAGTCTAATGAATAAATTGTTCACGATAATATGAATAGGACATTAATATAAGGTACTGTGCAAGTTTCTAACAATCGAAACCCAGTAAATTGAATGCAGAACTAAAATTGCATTAAAATTGTTACAAATTAAAAATAATCTGTTCAGAATAATTTGATCGATAGTGTCAACGGAATCACAGGAAATGGAAAATAAATTTATAACTAACAGTGTTAAAATTGAGCTGCAGACTACGCTTCATTATTAATTACTGAATCATCTAGTGTCCTCTTATCACTTTTTGGCAAATCACTTATGTCATTGAGCTCTTCAATGTTTTCACTTTTGTGCTGATTCAGCAAATCTTTTTCTTCTTCGATGGGTACCACGCTAAGGTCCCCTTCGTTGTTGGCTGCCGGCGCAGATGTAGTAGGGCTTGCAGATTCAACATCTATGTCGATGTTATTTGCGGGTGTAGTGGATTCTCTTTTAGTAACTAGGTCATCAGTGTCCAATAGGAACGTGGAGACAGGTAGTGGGTCACTTTCCTTGGGTTTAGATATTTTCACCTCACTGTTCATTTGGTCTATTATCGCTGGAGTTGTAGCAGCATCATTATCTGTTATATTCATGGGCTGGGTGACATTTGTTTCGTTTTCATGAGAATTCACGTGCAAGAGCAATTCATTAAATGAAGTATCCTCTTCTGCCACTGGTGTTGAACTTACTACTTCTTGATTTTTAATGTTTGCCTCAACTTCTTTGCCTATTACTGCTAAAGAGTCCTTATTAGATGTTCCTTCCGAAGGACTTGAGACATGTTCTTCCGTGTTTTCGTTTTGAGTCTCTGTAAGATTGTTCGGTTCAAGATCATGACCTTCTTGAAGTTTTTTAACTAAACTCTTGTTGTTTTCAACCTCAGGTAAAAAAGGATTCATTTCTGTTTCGTGATCGTCATACTCCGCTGATTGAGCATTCGCAGATTTCGCCAAGTGCATTGAATTATTACCATTATGGCTTGGTATTTCGTATATATTCACATTGAGATTATTTAATTGTGTTGTATTTGTCGAAGTTTCGGAATTATTTTCGGGTTCAATTATTGTAGAATTCGTAATGATTACATCCATAGGCGCGATTGTGGTAGGTGTACCAACGACAGATGGCACGACTACTTCATCAATCATGACTGGGTGCTCAAATACAGGTTGTTCCATCTTTTTTGGTAATTCTTGGACAGTCAAATACTTATCAGCGTCGGACTCTTCCCACACGGGTGCAGGTGCAGCATCCATAGGTTTTTCTGCCTCGATATTTTTAACTGTAGTGGTTTCATCATTTATTTCTTTTGTTACAGTAGTAACGTCAGAATTTGAGTTATCGGCTATAGTTTCATTATTATTCATTGCAGTAACTTGGGGAACGTTACTGGACTTTTCAGCGACTTTGTAAATATATTCTGTGACTGTAGTAGTTTCAATGGGCACATTAGTGGTTGCAGGCACTTCAGACTTATTTTCTTTCACATCAGCCGGCTCACTAGTTGCTTCCGTGGCAACTATTTTGGGTGTTTCAGTTGTAGCTTCTTTATTTACTCTTTTAAAACGTGAATCTTCATTATCGTAATCGTGTGCCATTCCATATAAAGGTTCGTCTGATTCTTGCTTGTTTCCTGTTGATCCCATATTGTTTAAGTAATCCGGTTCAAAATCGTCAGTCTTTACTAGACCGTGGTTCATTATTTCATCAACTTTGTGAATAATGGTTTCTGTGGGTTCATTTTTAGCCATTTTGTTCATAGCCTCATTGTAATTTATTTCTGTCACTGCTTCTGATAGCCAATCAGAGTCAGTAGAAGTTGATACTGTAGACTCACCGGCCTCAATTTCTTCAGTTGTAGCAGGAATGCCTTGAGTAGTATTGTCCGATCTCACGGGTGGTTTTTCAATGGACTTAGAGGAACGATTGTAAAGCATGTTTATGGCATCGAAAGTTATATCCATACCTTCTTCAGGTTCCCGTTCACGTTCGCGTTCAGTTGCAGTTTCGTTATTATTCGGTTTGTTCTCCAATACTTTTATTATTTTATCTTCTTCGGTTTCTTGATAGTGTTTGTTAATTGAAAATTGCGTAACAATTTCAGGTTCAGCAGTTGTTGTTTGTTCGGATGGCATCGACTTATTAGTATCTAATGACTTGACTTCCTCCAGGATAGAAGTTATCATAGGTCCTTTTTCAGGTTCTGTTTCTTCGTCGTCTGGTAAAGATTTTTCTGCTTCCTGTTTTGTTTCAGGTTCAACAGTGGTTGTTGGAATTGGTGTAGTTGTCTGTTCTATTTTATTTATTTCTCCTTCTTCTATTTCGACACTTACAGGTAAAATCGAGGCTGTCACTTTGCTGACCGCTTCCATTCTTCTCGTTATTTCTGTGCTTGGGGTTGTCACATCTTTTTTGGTTTCATCTTGCGATTCACTTTCGAAAAGTGACTTTGTGTTGATCGCAGTAGTTGTTTCATATAAGAAATCATCATCAAATCCTTTAAATGACCTCTGTTCTGATTCGTGCATAATTTTGTTCACATTGTTATTAAGGAGCTCTTCGAAATCAGTTTGGTTATGTTCGTCAGATTTACCTAAATTATGATATTCCAACCAATCACTTATCTCAGTCGTTGGAGTTTCGCTTTCTGAAGTATGAGTTGCTTCTGAAGGTTTTTCAGTTCGTTGTTTGGCACTTAAAATTGAGATTATTTCTGGTTTCGGCTCGTATGACGGCTCATTGATAAGGTTTGGTTCAGATATAGAGATGCGTCTCGTAGTACTCTCCGATTCATCATTAGGTTTGTACGCAAATTTACCTTTGTTGGTATATAAAATCGATTTTTCTTCTGAATTTTCCGTTATCTCTTGGGAGGACTGCGGGGTGCTACCTGCGGCTGTAGACATGCTGGATATTTCGGTAACCGGAGAGGTATCGTGTTCTGTATCAAAACTTATTTCATGCATATGGGTTATGAATGTATCTAGAGTGTGATTGATTTCAGAAGTCTTTGGCGTAGTTGTTTGTGATGGTTCGGGTTCAGATGTTGGTTCTGGCTCAGGAGTGGACATTGTTCGTTGTTTTTCTCGTACTATGAAGGCAGGATTTAATGCAACAGGTTCCGGAGCATTTGTGGTGGTACCGGGCTCGGGTTCAGGTTCAGGTTCGGATTCTGGGTCTGATTCTTGTTTTGGTTCAGCAGTCGGTTCAGTCTGAGACTTCGGTTCAGTTTCTGATTCTGCTTCAGAGTCAAGTTCCGGTTTAAGTGTTGGTTCTGATTCTAGTCCAAATTTCACGGACGGCTCTGGTTCTACGGTCGGTTCTGGTTCGGCTTTAGCCTCAAGTTCTGGCTCTGCTGTAGCGGTTGGTTCAGGTGTTGGTTCGACAGTCGTACGAGGTTCAGGCTCTGCTGCTGGTTCAGGCTCTGCTGATGGTTCAGGCTCTGCGGTTGGCTCTGGTTCAGGTTTAGGTTCTGGCTCAACTTTAGGTTCCGGCTCTGGTTTGGGTTCAGGCTCAGCTTTAGGTTCTGGCTCAGGTGTTGGATGTTCTTCACTCGAGTCAGGTTTGGTGATTTCAGATTGTTCTTGATTGTTATTTGTGTGGCCGAAAATATGAGAGAAATTGACATCTGGCTCATTTTCGGTGGTCGTTTCTGGCATCATATGATGAGTTTCTTTCCAGTCGAAAGTGTTTTCGTGTGATGTAGCTGCTTCAGTAGTAGGTTTTTCTTCTATGGGGACTATTTTTGTAGTCATTGGTTTTGCATCTACTGTAAGAACCGTAAAGTCTTTTCCTTGTTCAGTTTCCGAATCTAATAACGATATACACTTTTTAGGATTCGACATGTCTAGTATTTGACCATGAGGGCACGTGCAGGTGAAATCTAGGGTCATTTCATCGAATTCACATTCGTGTTCACAACCATTTTTGTTTATTTGACAGATATCTAGCACTGGTCTGGTAGTTATCTTGTCTTCAGCGATGTGGTAAACGTTGATCATTCGGTTGTTCTTGGAGAGGTAGTCATCAAGTCTTGCTTCAAGTTTATTTGCGTTAAGCAAATCTTCAGTGGGTTCAATATTCATCTTCGGCTTCCAGTGGACTCTGTAGGTGACGATGATCGAGCCTTTCCTGTAATTTATAAATATTATTAATTGTTACTCTATTGTGAAGATACTTGAATATAAAAACTGGTTAGTGGCAATGGCAATAACGATGTTTGGTATATTAAAATATGTATATGTATGTATAATATGATTACCTCAGCTGTGTAACTTCGACTGTGATCTCGTTTGCTCCGTTGTCGAGGTGGTTCCTATCGAATAGTGCTCCTTTTATTCCATGGACGAAGTTGGTGACAAATTCTCTATATTCGTTGCTCTCAGGGTCTTGAAGCGCGCTAGAGAATTCTTCATTGTCAATCTTCAGCTCGCCTTCCACAGTTCTGGGTACTGAAGAAAAAATAATACAGTTAAAGACAAAGTCAAAGTGAAAAAGGAGCAGAAAACTAAATTCTTGTCTATTTAAAATCGAAATACGTCTATAAAGCTTCAATAATTAGGTTACCAAAATAGGTAATAAAAAAAATTTGAAAGTGTAGGTTGTACAGAATCTAAGTACTCAAATTGTTGCGGCTAAGGCGTGTCTATTTTGCAAAAAATGTAGGTAATACCAAGGGTCACTCACCATACATAGTGAAGTCGCCGGTTTCCTCCGAAAGACCGGAGGGTTCGTGAGCTTCATCGCTCTGGGGTTCAGGTCCGTGTTGATGCTCCGTCGTCTCCATGCTATGATCATGTTCAGCACTGTGGTGGTCTTCATTATGGTCCTGGTGTTGATGATCTGATCCATGGTCATGGTGAACGTGGCCGATCCCACCTAGCGCCCGCGCTGAATTCACCGATGCGTTGTATTGTTCCAATGGAGTTGGTGAGCCCGTGAATAGGATACCCGCTGAAAATTTTAATAGGTTACATTTAGTATATGGTTTTGATGACTGTCCGAGGAACTCTTCATCACAAGAAAGATGTAATTGAGATAGCTTAGATGGGACTTATAATACGACTGGTAAAGTATACAGCCACGTTGTATTTTGGTACCTTTACCTACCTCTTTGGGATTAAAAGGCGATATGATATATGGTATGCAATTAGTCCCACATACCTTCATCTACACATACTTAGTATTTTGTATTTAGAAAGTAAAAAAGTTACGTACTGATGAGACTTAAATGAATGCGCCATTCCATTTCACTTCATTTATATAAACGTTCTCAGAAGTCATTCTATGTACACTCCTACTAATTGACGATGATCTAACGACACCATTCGCTGAATAAAATCGTATTACAAAATATTATGAAGGTAAAGGGAACATTTTTAAATAAAATAATTAAGTGGGTAGATTTAAAGCGCAATTTCAACCTTTTTTTTTTTTTTTAAGGGGGGAAAATCATCGAATGACTGCTCCCGCCTGGGTGAGGCGGGAGGGAGTGTCAGACTCTTACTGACTAAAAATCACCCCGTTCCTTCTCCTGCACGTCGAGCCGGAGCCCCGGTTACCCGTTAGGTTCTCCGCGACTCCGAATCGGCATCGGCCCTATTGGGCCCCATCTGTGGTGGTCTGATGGCTCTTTGAGGCGCGCGCGGAACGCGACGCGCCGTACGCTCGGGTCTGTTTCTGGTCGGACGGGGAGCCACCCATGCTCGCCGTCCGCAGGCCCGCGCTTACGGTGGCCGGAGATCGTCCCGCGATCCCCGACGCCCGGTGTGTCCTTCGCGATGGCTGGGTTGCGAGGAGGCAGCGCTTCGCTGCCTCACGCGTCCCGCCTCCTCCTTAGCTAGCATGACTGCTTCACAAAAGGAGGAGACGGCATCCCAGTCCCCCTCGCTCCGCATCATGGCCCGCACTAGGCCCGGACGCGAGAGGTCGCCATCGCCGATCACTTCCCTGAGGACACGGCGGTGCTCAGCCCACGAAGGGCATTCTCCCACCGTGTGTTCCACCGTGTCCTCAGGGCGGTCCTCGCAATTTTCAACATTTACATTCTCATTCTCAGCACAGTCTAATTTTATTCTTGTATTTTTATAATTTTGGAATGATTTAGATAAGTTACGACGTATCATTTCGGTATCAGGCCAAGGAATAAAAACTTTGAGTACTCAGCATGGGGCACATATTAGAACATGTCTGCCTATTTATACCAAACAAAACACCAATGGCTCTAAATGATATTTTGTTTAATTTTTATCATTGTCAAAAGAATACAATTTCAACCTACGTACGTGCCACTCGCCTTATTTTTTAGCTTCAAAACTAATAAACTAATTTAAAATAAGCAAAGTAAAATATTAACTTACTTGCTGCTAGAACGATGATGGCGACTATAGCTGCGACGACTAATCCCAGCAGGGTCCAGCAGAGAGGTCGCTTGCAACCTCCTTTCTCGCCCCGTTTGTCTGCCGTCACGTACAATTTCTCGCCTCTGTAAAAAAAATGAATGGAATTGTGAGAATTTACATAAAATTAGGTAATAATTATTATAATTTTTCATATTTTGTTTTATTGATGATCTACCTACTATTAAATAACTATTGATCATTTCAATAACTTTTAAAAAAAATCAATTGATACAAAAATCATGTTTAAAGTTGAACTATTGCATTTGCTTTTCGATGTAATTAATCATTAATTACTTATTCATCAAAAGTAAATATTACAACGCAATAAAAAACTACCGGTAGGTAGTTAACAAAATCATGGCCATTTTCATCAAAATTTTGAGTAAGACTTGCTCCACCGGCTACATAACTAAACAAATAACTATTACTTGTAATAGACAAAAAACTATCAATTAATATCCAATTACGAAACAGATTGCATAATTACATGGTGAGCAAAATCACCCAGCGTAGCGTAACCGGAGAGGTCACAAAATATGGTTGATTTGCATAAAAATATAACCAAATTTAATTACACGCACTTCTCAACGTCCGCATCGGAATAATGTGGTTGACAACAACTAAGACTGTGAGAGGTTAAAAAACTTTCCGACGATTTTTCCATTATTTCCTGCGCCGCGGAAATAGGACGGCTTTCTGTGGAATTCTCCAATATTTCCTTCGCAACGGAGAGTGGACGTTTTTCGTTGGATTTTTCCATTGTTTCCTGGATTCACCTGACACTAGTGATTCACTTTGACACGGCGCGGTAGCCGAACGGGCGCCTACTAAAGCTTTTACGCAGTCATGTTAATTTTTGCCGATCCGAATTTTTATCGTCTACCTGCATAAGTTATAATATGAATGAAATGTCATCAAAAGTTAATGTTGCCAGTGCACGTGGCTGTTTAGAGAATATCTAATTACATTCGTGTCTCGTTTTTAAAATACCATTAGGTACGTCGAGTACCTACATATTATAGCTTTGAAAAGATTTAAAGAAAAGAAAGTTCTTGTTTATTACATCGTCCATATTTAGTAAAACGGATTAATTTAATATTTCAATAAGCTTTCTAGTAATTGCACTCGTTAAAATAAATTGGTACGCACATTATCTGTGATACATACGCACCTGTCTATAGTCAGCGTAGCAAAGAAAGTAAGCATATTCATCTACAATTTGAAGCGATAAATGTGAAGAATTTACTCTGTAAATAAGACAACAGCTAAAACAATTCCTAACATTGATGTAATAGAGATCAAAATCCCATAACTTTATGTGACAACCTTTTTAAATTCTGATTTAGGATGCACCTATGCAAATACATGGGTTGAGTTATTTGAAGGTCGGAAGGCAAGAGTCAAGGCGCGGCGCATTCCTTGCTTAAACAGTTGCCTTATAAGAAACCAAATGCTTAACATCGTTCTAACTTGGTAGCCAGATAAAGTGAACGTCTCTGTTCATTATTTAGAAGATTATTTATTAGGTAATCTATTAGATTTATATTAAAGACTATTTCAATTTTTAGTTAGCTACGGAACAGTTTACTGTTTACAAAGTGTTTCATTATGGATGGTTTGAAAAGGAATTTCAGTTCAAGAAGCCATACATATTTATAGTCAACCAATAAATTGATCTTACATTTTCATTCATACTAAGTTAAAAATTAAGTACCTACATTAGGATAAAGTGTACACAGTTAGTCGCTAAAGACTATTATTATAAACAAGCATAGTGGGTCTGTTAGATACAGCATTATATTTACTGAGGTTTTTAAATTCGCAATGTCGTAACAGAGCGTAATATTGCCAGGTGCTCTAAGCAGAACTAGTTTTCTTCAATGCGGTTTTAATGTAAGCACTAAGCAGCTGGCACCTAGGCCACTTATTTTTCTAAGGACATCGACGAAGTAGAAATATTTTGTATTTACTTATTAATAAAATTACTAAATTCTGCCAGCGGCTTCGCCCGTGGGATAAGAAGTAGCCTATGCCTAGCCTTATTCCTGACTATAATCTATCTACCTCTGTTCATGAAAGAATAACAAATACAAACACACACACACACACACACACACACATATCCTCATATATTTACGCATTTATAATATTAGTAGGAATAGTAGGATATTAGGCATCTAGACAATAAAAGTAGGTATAGGTTAATCCAATTTGAATTAATTCACGATTATAAATTTATTTGGGAACAGACATTTTACAAGTTAAATTTATTTGCACTTACTTTATATCTAGGTACCTACTTAGTCATTTATAGAATTCATTCAGACATTTGAGTTTAGTATACCTAAGTTAAGTATATTCACATTTTGATGACACCGGATCTAAAGATTCAATATTTGCTGTTAAATCTGTTTAACCAATTAACCGACCAGTCTTATTAATAATACCTTTTTCAGTAATAGGTACTTATTTCACAGAATACTGCTTATTTAATCCTTCATCTACTAATGACTTTTAAGAAATTTCGTTAATGAAACAACAGGGGGTCACTTCTTCAATGCTATGATGTTCGTATAGGGAGTGCAAGCATGCAAGCATGTATGTAAGCACACGCTCACGTCACGTGTAGCTAAATAAGTATCTGGGTAAGTATAATACTTCTCTCTCACACGCTCGCGACAAGCCCTGGCGTGGAACTAAGAAGTAAGACATGTTATAGAAGTAAGAAAACTAAGACATGTCGGTTATTATAAAATCCGCCGGTGGTCGCGAGGTGAGCGCGGTCGCCAGGTCGTCGCCCTGCGCTTTGTTCCCCGCCCGCCACCCGCGACCCGCTGGACGCCCCTACCGGAACAACTGCACCTTATGTCCCTTCGGCCCAAGTCAGAATCGTCACTATTGACATTATTGTCTTTAATTCTATGTTACTTTAGACTTGAAACAAATTGTGCTTAGGATAAAATCTTTGTCTTTTATCCTCGCCTGACTAGCTTAATATTATTTAGCTAAAAATAACGACTAGCGTCGCGTTACACGACTAACATTAACCTAGAACGTTCTAGTTTTGGCTACAGCAACTCGCACACCCGTAATTGGCGACTAAGCATTAAGCAAATAATCTGAAATAGCTAATGAGGTCGATTCTTTAATCCGCGCAGACTTGTCATTGATTGCGTAACTTCAAACATTACTCCATAGTCAAATGCGATTTTATGGCAATTAGCTGGTATAAAACCAGTCTTGTCTCAGCACAGTCAAAAGTTGACAACAGCAGTGACCCACATTCGGCGTGTGTGCGATCAATGATCAATCAGAGCACGAGCCATTGAGCAAGCCTCTGTCTATTCAGATCATGAATGGGCTCAAATATCAGTGTGTCGTTTGGAATTGCGCAATATGAGAGAAAACTGCATTTTTGTGATTGTTTTAATTTCAAATTCAATTTTTCTTTGGTTACTTACCTATTGTTTTAATTTAACAGTGTACAACACGTGTGTGTTAATAATATATTGAACTCTTTGGTTAATAACCATTTAGTACTGTGGTAGGTAACATAAAATTAAAACAATCGTTGTTTAAACCAACTGGACTTCGATGTTTCAATAAACAATAGGTTCTCTTCCTTTCTTAAGGACCTGTGTGTAATGCAGATTGTAAAGTTCAATTCAAGTTATTGAAGACTTCAGTCCTGTACCTATTACAATTTACAGTACTTGTTTGTACTGACGCATCTCATTTTGAGTACCGTTTGGCGAGGAAAGGGCGTGCGAAATTGTTTAAGAAATGATCTCCATATGACTAGGTAACCGTTATTTTTCGTACTGAGTGTACTGACATCGTTTCCTTGACTGTTTGGTTTTGTATTGTTAAATATATGAGGTCTTGAAAGCACTATTTTGCGTCTAGTTTTAGGGCTTTATGTAGACTAGGTATTAAAGACATTTGACAAAGTTTGCAGTAATTTTGCTCAGAATTTTAATTTATTAGCATTTTCCTGCCGTAAACAACTTAGGACTAGTAAGAAAAAGTTTAATTAACACAACTGTGTCTAGTAAATTAAGAACGGTATTCCAAAGACCTCAATCTTCGCCGCGAGCTTTTGTCTTCGTATGTAAAAACCAGCGTGACATCGAGCATGACCAGCGATACACTCTTTTGTTTTTTTAAACAATAGACTAAAGTATGTGCTTCATCCTCTTTGGACGTGTAGAGAGAAATTCAAAAAGTGGTTTTAGATACATAGCGTGGTATAGTAGTACACAATAATGTTTTTTGTAAGGGGGAAAATCATCGAATGACTGCTCTCGCCTGGGTGAGCCGGGTGGAAGTGTCAGACTCTTACTGAATAAAAACCACTCCGTTCCTAGTCCTGCACGTCGAGCCGCAGCCCCGGTAACCCGTTAGGTTCTCTGCGACACACAATAATGTTTAGGTACAAGAGTATAAATAGATATCCAATAATTTTATACCCATTTTAATAAAAACATACAAAAATATCATATCAATATTAATGACTTAAACACGTTAGTATAGAATTACCAACAAAAATGTGAACAGTTCAAAACATCATGTGAGGTCTACTTTGTATTCTTTGGGGTGCCACACCGGCGCATTTTCGGCTTCTCCCATACTCATGAACGCGGTCTGAATGCAATAAACACTATAATGAACACTCAGACAAAATTAATTAATTATTTAACACGTTACATTACAGTTTACTGTTCATTTTGTTAGTTAGAATTGGTTTTACAGCTAACGGGTCCTGTAGATGAGTTGGAATTCTGTGTACATCTTTTACATTACCTACGAGGCGTGATCTTAAAGACATCAAGCACATCAAGTTACTCGAAGTTTAAAATTATATTGATAATCTGATAAAATATTTTAACAATCTGCAGGACTTCAAAGTTCAAAATACTGATACCAATCTGAATTTTGCACATGGAAATAACGGCTTATTCCATTTAAAGGTGACTTCATGGAAGTGATATTACATGGAGGCGATTTCAGTAGCAGTTAGGCATTTATCGAAAAAATGCCTTTAGTTTTATTTTAGTTTCAAAAGATTATGTTGTCATTTTAC